TCAGTCGCATCAAAGATGGCTGCCACAGCTAATTAACTTTCTCAAACACAATAACGGTTACAACTGAGTCCAATTTACAGATATCGAGCTAACATCCACCAGGTGGTAGTTAAGAGTCATTCTTAACCAGGGGCAAACTTCACCCGCCAAAAATGAACATTGGACCAAAATTACAAAATGTTCTCAACATTAAATCATCTTAAAACTCTATTAAGATGATTGATGAGACTTTAATTTCTTATGTATTTGTATTCAAAAGCATATAAAGCAAAACTTTATTTCATATAATGACTTTTTGATTACACTCCAGTGTACTCCCTTGAGTTTCCTATAACCCTTATATGGTAGCATCTGAGATTGCAAACACTGATACAAATGTGCACACACACACACACACACACACACACACACACACACACACACACACACACACACACACACACACACACACACACACACACACACACACACACACACACACACACACACACACACAAAACCCCAACTACTAACCTCAAAAGCAGCTCTTCCAGTCTTGCAGAGCAAGAGCTTAGATCAGCTCTGAGCTACAAGTTGCATTCTGGGTGACATCACAGACAGGAAACAGGAAGCAAACAAAGGTTTCCTCACTTCCTGTGTCTGACCACCAATGACAGAGCTCGTAACAGAACAAAGTGGTGAACGTGCCCCAGGTGGGTTTGACCTCGTCTTTACACTCCTCCTGGAAATGCTTTGCAGACATGACCCACTTCTGATCAGTGTTGGGAGTAATGCTATACAAAAGCAATTAATTACTGTAATGCATTGCTTTTTGCTGTAATGTGGTAATGTAAGGCATTACAGGGAAAGAAAATGGTAATATTTACTCGGTACAATTGTCAGTAACGCGGTAATTACAATGCGTATTTAAACCCAGAATCAAGATGTGGGTTTCCTAAAAATTTAAATTGCGAGAAGCCTGAAAAAAGATCCAGTATCCACATATATGACGTCATTTATGGACTCAGCTTTGTGGGCATTCTATGAGCAGGGAGGACGCAGCGGTAATGGCTCAAATACTCCAGCTGCATTCTGCGGGCGGCCGCTGTTATATTCACAAAATCGCTCCACCAAAACAAAGTCATTCGTTTGTGATCGTTAATATCAGCCCATATTCTCTGGTCCTTCATGTACTTTTCAGCTGAGTTCATAATCTGTGCCCCGGTGATTTCAACTCATTGCTGCTGGAGCGCAGCGCATATTAAGCTTTTATTTATTTATTTATTTATTTTGCGTTCGGTAGATCCCTTTGGCTGATTAGCTAGAAAGTAGGAAATCTAGGAAACAGTTTTTCTGGAAGATGGAGAAAACATGCTGCATGCAGGAAATATGTAAGCATTTAATATTTATAAAAGTGATAGAATCAGATCACCCCAGAAGTCAGTCCCACATCCAGGGCCGTATCAAGGCATTTGGGGACCAAGGCAAATATAGGCTTGGAGCCTCCACCACCTCACTCCCTGCTCAGATGGCCCTATAAGATGGCAGCGTGCTGAGAGTGCAGATTGTTGTTGCTTTTATTTAATAAACAATCATTTTAAAGCAGTTATCATATCTGACTGTTTTTAACAGCAATCCTAGCTCAGACACCACATCACTTTCCACATATATGTCATGAGCTCACTGAGCATCACATGACCAGATTCATATTGAAGTTGTTTTGGTGAAAGTAACTTAAAGTAATGCAAAAGTAGTGTAATGCCTTACATTTTAAAATCAGTAATATTGTAATGTAATGAATTACTTTAAAATGAGGGTAACAAGTAATAAATAATGCATTACAGTTTTGAAGTAACTTGCCCAACACTGCTTCTGATGCTACACCTCAAACTCTGAACACAGTGAAAGTGTGAACGCACATCTGGAACCAGGCCTTCCATCACAATGTGCAACAGCAGGGCTTCACAGGTCCATAAAAACACAGATAACACAAACAAACTGGTCATGACTCGTTATAGTTCAAAAGCTAAAGACAAATCAAAACTGAAAATTTCAGGACTAATTTATTTCCATGTCAGTAAATGACTGAATCCTTTGGTCCAACTCATGTCCAGTTCCTCATTGCTGCTCATGGTGGCTCTAAACTCTGGATCATATAAACTTTACATACATTTAAACGTTCCACTCCAGTATTCGTCAAAATAATACAAATCCACTGATCAACAAGCAACACCACTTACGAGAAACACACTCCTGTGGCTCCCTTCACACCTCTAAACGTATTAAAACATCTGCACTTCAAACTGCCAAGAACTCACCTGTCTGCTGCCTCCTCTGTGTCCTACAGCAGATCAAGTCAAAAACTAAATAAATCACTGCTTCTCTCCTGCGTGCGAGCACGTCTTCCTCTAGATCCTCGCTCACTTCTGTAGCTCTCTCGGTTTCCCTATTTCTGTCTATTCAAACCCCTCTCAGGGCAGGTCTTTGCAGGCTGTCTCATTCCTCAGCGTTCCTAGATGGGGCAAGTGTATTCTTGTCCCAACAAGGTAAAATTAGACCTGGTTGGGGCTTAATGAGTGTTTTCTGCAGCAGTGTGTGTGCGTGCATGTGTGTGTTTGACTAAGTGCTGGCTGCCAGGTTTAGACAAGTTACCTCTCAGAAGGAATTTCATAGCTGCAGGGCTGCAGCACGAGTTGGGTGTGTTCATCGTTCATGACACATGCACACGCACACACACACACACTGGCCTCACAGAAATTCTTCACATAAATGGCCTAAAACACACACACACACGCGTTACACCCCAACAGAGGCTCTATTATGAGCACCAAAATGTTCCATGTACCTTCCAGGAAAACTGAGTTTAGTAGCATTTCTTTGGAGAAAACTCACAAGCGTGCACAATTAATAACTGCACCAAACCTAATTAGTTTTTACATCTACCTCTGTGGTTTCTACACTTTGTTTTAAGTTTGTGGGAGAATCCAAAACATATCTAGACAAAAGGATACTGGACCAGAAAGTAATCAACATAATAAAGAATATTTGACACTAAAGAGGTTTATTTGTGAGTTTAGGTTTATTTTTAATTGCTACAATGATCATGGGATAATGAAAAGCTTCAGGAAAGAAAACAGCATTAAAATAGTTTTCTGTTTGTGTGCTGATCATTATCTCTATAGTTCCTTTAAATGAATTATATTCATCTAATTTTGCTTTTTTAAATGTCCGCTCTATTTCCAGTGCATGCATTTATGTTTTTGTTATTGTTTTGCAGCTTTCTTAGGTATGGGTATGCTTTCTTGTTCCATCTCAATTTTCAGAAGTTCGCTGGAAAAACAAACATTTAAAAAAGGATCCTAACTGTTTTTTTCCTGGTGTCGGTTGCCAAGCAGACAGAAACAATGAACAAATGTTATTTTCATGAATTACTTTCAACTGTGAGTGTTATTTTTACACTGCTAGAGACTCAACCAGAGAAACAAAAGTAAACTTTCATATCTTACAGAGAAATACTAACAATTCACTGAAACTGCTGCATGTAAACAATTATGAAACTTCAGAGTAGAATAACTGAAGTAGAATCTACTGCAGGGTTAATGAACATTAAACATTGCTCTATGTTAATGAGTTTTTATATGTATGTACAAATAAGATAACGATTGTTAAATAATTATTGATTCTTGTCACATTCTATAAATTAAACTAACAATTATTAATGATTAATGGTTTTTATGACTCACTCAAACTTCTGGAGCCTGAACAAATTGATTGCATAACACTTTCTGTCAAACAATGAGTAGTAAAGATCTAACATTTGCCGTCATCTCGGAGTGTGTTTTGTATTTTTCCACTAATACTCAATGTTCTTGCTTTCCTATTTTCACTATTTTGCAACCGGCCTCTGTCTTCATCTCCTCTCATAAACGCGCCTCACTCAGCTTGTCACATGTCTATTAAACATTTCTCTTCCCCATTTTTTCACCCTCTCTCGCTCTCTTCGCATCGGAATACTTTCTGTTCCCCGTATGGTTGGCAGCCATCAAGGGAAGCCCACTTCCTCATCCTGGAACTCCCAAGCCCCAAAGGGTCACAGGAGCAGGCTGTCCAGCCAGAGCACAGCAAACACAGCCGCCAAGCTGTTTACAGGAAGTGGACAACAAGCCTTTTGTGTTTCGACTTCTATAAAAGGATATTCTGTGGACGACTTCCTGGAAGGAGTCATGACACACGACCCACTTCCATCTCCTGGTCACAGAAATAAACCAATCACCTAAACCAGATGTGCAAACATGCATTTGCTGCACTGTGTGAGTGCATGCAGAGTCTCTGGATGATTACCTCCTTACTGGATATCAGCAAGTGAACCACAAACACAGGAGGACTTGCAGAATCTGAAGAACCTGGGTACAAAAGCAGCCTGAGGACTCACGCTGAGGTGTTATATTTGTTGCAGCTGCAGGACAAAACTAGCCTAGTGAACTAGACCAAATTCTTGCTTTGCAAAGTTTAAATAATACATTTATTTAGTCTGGCTTGCCAGGCTAGGACAAACCCTCTAGATGGGGAAATCACAGGCACAGATTGTGGTAATGATTTAAAGCTGCAGTTTGAGCCACACACTGCTTCAATGATCATGGGATAATGATGGACATTTTATTTTATGCCAGATATATTTAAAATAACCAATTTAATCAATTCTACGTTTTAGCATACAATTAGATTATTCTTAATGACACATATATTGTGAAACTGTGTTATAAAGGCTATACGAATGTGTAATAGGGTGATTCATTGGACTTAATCTATTACAATGACGCATCCTGTTTACTTCCTATAAGTTAATCACAAAAAGAGTTTAGCTGAGTGAGGTTTTGCATTTCTAAACAAGGTGTTTTGGTTTTGCTTATTTGTTTTCATAAATTGCTTTAAAATAATGGAAACCATGTTAAAGAAGCACGTATGTCTCAATGGGACTGATTATTAATTGACTTTCGCAGAGAAATCAAATGTAAACTCACCAGTAGTAGCTGTCAACCGATAAAGCAGCACCTCAGCTTTGTTTCTGTCTGTCTGTCTCGAGTCCGTTTAACGTCCAGATTTTCTGAGGTTTCAAAAGAAGCACAACGAGTGTAAAAATCGGTGCGGTTTTTAAGCACACACCGCCTCATTTGTGTGTCTCGTTCCTCCCTGGTACTCCCAGTCTCGGCTGTTCGGTTCGGGAAGGAACCTGGCAGCGAGGAAGCGGAACTTTATTGAAGCGAGAAGTGAGACCCTCACGGCTTCCGTAGCACTGCTCTACGCATCACTTCTGCGCAGCACGCTGCGAAAAGCAAAACGTTTAGGATTTTCGGGATCAAAATGTTAGAAAACTAGAAACAAAGCACGGTTTGTTGCTTTTTTCCAAATTATTTATTTAACAAATTTTTACTGAATATTAATTTTGTTTGTTAAAAAAATGTCAGATGTCAAAATCAAAAGTAGTAGATCTCAAAGATGTCTACTACTTAACCTAGCAATTTTATTTTGAAAATTTTAAACGGAAGTCGCAGATTTACTGGACTGGACTGGTATTGGCTCAGATGAAAATAAGCGAAAACACTCGCGCGGAACTTCTCTCATCAGGGCTGGCAGCAAGAACTTGGCGGTATGTGACCACACTTTGTGGGCGTCACAAAAACATTGTTAAATTTTGATTATTGTTCTTCATGCGCAGGCTGCTTGTTTCTGTAGATTTATTTAAACTCAGATGATTAAGCTAACAGTGCTTCGGCCTGCCAGAGTGGTTGTTTTGCGTGGCAAAATGATAAAAGTGGCGGTTATTGATGTGTTTATTTTAATTTATGGACACAGGTATGTCTTTTCGCCGGTGGGGGTTCGGTTGGGGGCCGTTCGATGATGTGGACCTCTTCTCAGAGCCCTCAGAGACCCAGACAGATACTCTGTCCCAGATCATCAGAGCTGCTAGAGCCGAGGAACCAGATGCAGATGGATGCGTGCTGTTTGGGAACCTGAAGGGGACTGTGGTCGGGCTCAGATATTACACTGGGGTGGTGAGTAACCAATCAGTCACTATACTGATTATTATGAAATTAAATTATTACTATGAATATTTACTGAGCTTTCATCATTTTGAGTTTGTGTACCAGCCCTGTGATTTTAGGTTGAATTTCTGGACTAACTTTTGGTTTATAAACTCAGTTATAAACAAGTTGGAGATTACCCCCCCCCCCCCCCCCCCTTCTCACCCACTGATTCCTGCTGGTCAGGACCTTGGTGATCCGTCTTCACCAGCTACAAAAGCTCATCTTCTGCCACTGTGCTAAACATGGAGCTAAATTCCTAAAAACCAATGGTGATTTCATCACCCATTGAACTGTTGGGTCTGCATGCAGAACCAAATGTACAGCAACATCTTACTACATTTACTGGGGTTACTACATTTCTTGAGTCCAGGATTTTGGAAGACTGAGATGATCGTGGAGTTCAAGCAGGACCACTGTAGACAGTTGATTAGCATAGTGATTCAGGGTGGACAAAGTCCTCTCCAGCTGCACTGCAGGGGTTCAGCTGCTTGAATCACCTGTTGATATTTACTAGATTCAGAGAGGATTGCAGGGAGAGGAGACAACGGAGCCATTGTTGCTGAGGTGTGAAGAGAGTGTCTCCATCTGGTACTCTGCAGTTGAAAGGGGACTGTCTGTGGGTGGAATGGGATAATGAGAAAGAAGAAGAAGAAAATATCATTTCTATAGCGCCTCTCATGTTAAAAATTGCGAGGCGCTTCACAAAAACAAAAAAATATAAAAAGGCATTTAGAAAATGTTGAAAAATATATTAAAATGAGCAAAAATAGGCAATTGTGATTAAAAAATGTTAAGAAAGAGAACTTTCAGGTTTCAGACACGTTAAGAAAGAGATAGTGTGAAAAGGAAAGAGGGAAATCAGTGGATCCTGAGGAAGGCGGAATAGGTGGGGAGAGCAGAACAAGGAGAGAGTGGTGAAAAAGGTCTTACAAAAGCCTGCTTGAACAGGTGAGTCTTCAGCTGCTATTTATTTATTTAAATTTTTTTGTAATTTGTAATCTGTAATTTGAATTGCTTTTATTTTCAGATTTATTCACTTTATTTGACTTTGTACTGTACAGTGTTCAGCGCCTTGGGCTTCCTGACAGGGATGCGGAAGGCGCTTTATAAATAAAGCTTTGATTGATTGATTGATTTTAAAGGAGACCACTGAGTCCACTGATCTCAGGCTCAGGGAGAGAGGTCCAGAGTCTGGGGGCCACAGCAGCAAATGATCTGACACCTTTGGTCTTTAGCCTGGTGCGTTGCACGATCACTGGACCTCAGGGACCTGCTGGGGGTGTAGGGACTAAGAAGGTCACCAATGTAAAGCCGGGCGTACACTGTGCGACTTTTTCACTTTTTTGAGCCGATTTTCCAGTCGTGCGAGAATCCACGAGATCGGGACGAGTTTTGCGCCGAGCGTCGTGTAGTGTACAGGGGGTTACGAGAGGCGATTAACACCACGTGACCAGCTACCGATCAGCAGTCGTGAGGTCGCATGGACTTCTGGCGTGTTTAATATTTCGCTCGTCCCTCGTGAGGGTATCGCACTGTTGAAGCGGCGCTGCGAGCAGCTGCGACCCAAAATGTATCAGAACCGCTCATGGCGCATGCGCAATCCTGCATCAACACCGCTCGCTCGCTATTTCCCTAATAACACACGTTGTTTGTTTTTATTTCTACACGTTTTTTTTTACTCACAAAGATTGTCAAGAAAGCGTGTTTGTCGTGTTCATGTCAAATTAAACTGATCACAAAACACAGATTTACTTTCTTTATTTCGTTTTCCTCATCCAACCCCCATAAATCCCTGTGTGTCCTCCTGCAGCACTCCCGAAGGACAACAGGCAAAACAAGACCAAAAAGTCTGACGTGCTGAGTAAAAACTGCTATTTTTAGCATACTTTTAGGGCAGATGTGTTGCTACCAGACGTACAGTGTGAGCAGTCAGATTGCGTCCGAGAACTGGGTCGTGCAGTGTGAGCGCATGACTCGTGAGATCTGCTCTGGGAGGAAGTCGTACAGTTTGAGCTGAAGCTGAGTGCTACGAGTGAAAAAGTCGCACAGTGTACGCCCGGCTTAAGATGGTGCTTGTCCATGTAAGGCCCTATAGACCAGAACCAGGATCTTGAAATGAACCCTGAAGTTGACTGGCAGCCAGTGAAGCTGGAGGAGAAACGGGGTGATGTGGGTGTGTTTGGAGGACTTGGTCAGAAGCCGAGCACAGGCGTTCTGAACCACCTTTAGACGGTTCAGGGAGGTTCTGCTCAGACACGTGAAAAGAGAGTTACAGTAGTCTAAGCGTGAGGAGATGAAGGTGTGGATAACTGTCTCAAGTTCAGAGCGGGACAGAATGGGACTCAGCTTAGCAATGTTCCTGAGATGGAAGAAGGAAGAGCGAACAAGAGAACTGACATAAGGATCCAGGGTGAGAGCTGGGTCAAAGGTCACGACAAGATTCCTGACAGAAGGTTTGGTGTGGGAAGCAAGCTGACCAAGAGAGTCTCTGACTTTGGGAACCAGCTTGTCTGGGGCACAGATGAGGATCTCAGTCTCATCTTCATTCAGCTGAAGAAAGCTCCCAGCCATCCAGGTTTTGATAGAGTCTAAGCAGGTGTGTAACAGCTGCAGCTTAGACATCTCATGGGGCTTAAAGGAGATGTACAGTTGGATGTCATCTGCATAAAGATGGTAGGAGATTACTTTGAAGGAGCTCAGGATGTGCTGAAGAGGAAGCAGATAGAGGAGGAAGAGCAGAGGCCCCAGCACATAACCTTGTGGGACACCATGGGTAAGAGAGGTGGTGGAGGACCTAAACTTGGAGACGGCCACAGAAAAGGAACGCTCAGAAAGATAAGAGGAGAACCACTCCAGAGCAGTTCCTGATAGGCCTACCTAGTCTCTCAGCCTCTCCAGTAGCAGGTGATAGTCAACAGTGTCAAAGGCTGCAGTCAGGTCCAGCAGGACCAGAACAGAACAGTCCCCTGCATCACTGTGAGTCAGAAGGTCATTCGAGACCCTAAGAAGAGCTTTTTCAGTAGAATGAGCTCTACGAAAACCTGACTGGAAGCTATCATAGGTGTTATGTTCATCAAGAGCAGCTGTGAGTTGTTTAGCCACAACCTTTTCCAAGATCTTGGAGATGAACAGAAGTTTAGGTGGTGGATGTGAACAGGGCAGTAGAAGATAATGATGTCATTAGCTAGTCTGTTGTTGCTTTGTGTTTGTAGTTGGTGATCTCTCTGGGAGACCCCAGAGTCGTTAGCTGTGAATGGTAAATGATAATGATAATTGACCACTTGAATAGCGCCTCTCAGAGTAAGGACTCCAAAGCGCTTTACACTACAGTGTATCATTCATTCATTCATTCATTCACACACACACACACATTCTCACATTGATGGTGATGAGCTACGATGTAGCCACAGCTGCCCTTGGGCCCACTGACAGAGGCGATGGTTAGTGGTTTAGCCTGACTCTACAAGTCATCATCCCCCCACTCTTGAACGTCTCCTCAGTCTGTTGAGCTGCTTGAACTCTGATGTGAACCTGAGGCCTTGTCGTCAAATGTTCGCAGAAATAATACTATATTCCTTCCTACGAACGAAATTTAGGGTGGTGGTGCGAACGAGCAAAATCCTGATTTATGAGACATGCAGTGACCATTCGTGTGCATGTTCCTCCATAATCAGCTGTTAATAAATCCCACCTGTGCTTATCCAGATGCTCGTGTCCTTTCACTGTCATTTACATACAGAAACACACTCAATTCACCATATTTGGTCACACTACGTCCTCAGCATGTGAGGGGAATCCCTGCATTCCTCCTGGAAAAAAAGCTTGACTGACAGCGAGATCGAGGCACCGGCTGCTGAAGTGCGAGAGAACCAAACAGGTGGCAGAGGTTGTAAACGCAGAGGAGAGGTCTGTCAGGAATAAATGAAAATGGTTCCACATCAATTGAATATGATAAATCATAGCGTAACTAATTGTCATTTACATTTAAGAAGTCATTCTGTTTGTAGTTAATTTTATTTGGAAATGTCTGACACTGCAGCCTCTTCTGAGCTGTCTGTCATTCAGTTTGGTTATCTTGGCAACAAGTGCACGATTGGGGAGCAGAGAAGGTTCTGGAGGGTTTTCGTAGTTGTAAAATAGAGTATGGGCTGGAATCGGATTTGCGCGGTTTGTCTGTCGCTCCACACAGGGTCCCAAATTAAAAGCATAGATCATAGATCAGTGCGCTCATGGAGGATGTGTTCCCTCCAGAGTGGACGTTCTGCCAAATCCTCTGATAACACAAGATCAGCCCTTTTACAATGTCGGGTTTCCGTCGGTCACAGATGTCTTTTAAATGTTTTGGCATCAGTTATGTGACAACGCTCTTTTTCCACTGAAATAATTACTGCTTAAAATTGTCTGTGGATGAGGAACACGTGTGGACGGTTTCCCAGTTCTAGCACTAGATGCTGTTTGTACACATGGTCTGAGATTTTGTTCTATGTAGAAACATTTTCACGCACACGTACAAAATGATGAATACCACACAATGCATAAATTAGTTGCTACGCATGACATGTGTACAGATCGGTGCGTAAGTACGGTTGATAAGTGAGGACCCAGGATGCAGCAGTCTTCACTGTCGGCTTGCTGAGCTCCAGCTTCTGCCTGTGTGAGAGGATCAGCTGGATCATCAGGTGGTCTGAGGAGATTCTTAAATAAGAATCCAAGATGACACATGTCTTCTCCTTTGGCAGACCTCCTAGATGTAGTTCACAAGTGCTGCAAATTCCTCAAACTCACTGTCCCTGTGTTGCATCGTGTTGCATCGTGATCTGGTTTCATCATGTTTGCTTCCTCTGAAGTCTGAGCTGCAGCCAGGTGTCTCTTGAAAAACTGGAGCTGTCATTTCCATGAAAGTCCTTTTGGTGTTTTGATCTCAACCAAATAAACAGCTGAACTTCTGTCCTGATGAATTTTCTCTATTGAAACAATGAAAAGTGGGACATTTTTAGTGGTTATTAGTTATAGTTTAGTGACTTTGTGATAACATCTCGAGACATTTGGTAAAATGTTCAGAGACCCTCATTAACCGATCTGCTCTGCTCTGGGCAGGTGAACCGAGGAGAGATGGTGGGTTTAGTGCGGGAGCCTCAGAATCCGTATGACAGTAACGCGGTGAAGGTCACAAACATCTATGGAAACCAGGTTGGACACATCAAAAAGGAGCTGGCTGCAGCTATGGCCTATATGATGGACAGAAGCTTGGCTAAAGTCGAAGGGTGAGCTCTGATTACTTCAGAATAAGATTTCTTAAAGGATCCCACATGAAAACCAGTAACTATGAAACATTCATTGCTAGGGTGGTGCACACAGGTGTGAACAACCCCTTCTCTATGCCAGTTATGCTGTCATTCTGGGGGAAGGAAGAGGACAGGAACACTGTAATGAAGCACATGGCGAGTCGAGGGTATAAACTTAATCCAGGCTCGTCAACCGGTGAGCTCCCATTTTCTTTCATTGCATCTTTTTAATCAACACCTTTATTATCACTCACTTTTGTTTGTTTTCAGGTGGAAGCCTGGCTTTGTATGGCACCTCGGCCTCCTCATACAAGAAGGGTGTGACCGTCCCACTGACAGCAGAGGAGGTCATTAAATCTGAGCCAGTTTCTTCCAGAGATACAGATAATATTGTTTATACTTGAATTAATTTGATTCTGAAAATTCTTAAACATTTTCCATTTGTTTTTATCCTCCAGCTTAAGAACGCGTTTGATAACTTGTTTGACGGTTTGATGGAGAGTAAAGATGGAGAGGAAGAAGCAGTTGAGGTAAATATGATCTTATTTGATGAATTCTCTTAATTATACTACACCTTTTTGTTTTTTTTACAAAAATTCTTCTTCTTTTTTCCCTTCAGTCTGTGGCCACCGCCCTCCTGCCTCATCAGAAACAAGCTCTGTCCTGGATGTGCGCTCGGGAAAACAAAGACGCGCTGCCGCCGTGCTGGGAGAAGAGAGGCGAGCTGTACTACAACAGCCTCACCTGCTTCTCTGCTAAAGAACCACCGGGGAGGGTTCGGGGGGGCATTCTGGCCGACGATATGGGACTGGTGCGTTACACACGATACACAACTTTTATTTATTAGGAATTTTTTTTATTCATAAGAAAACGTGCTTTTCAGGGTAAAACGTTGACAACAATCGCTTTGATCCTCACCAACTTCCACAAGGGAAAACCGCTGCCTGTGGAGAAATGTGTAAGCAGCCATCTTTTTTTCCTGCATGAGTGATTAGTAGCGATTTAAATAAATGTCTGTCTACAGGAGGAGCAATTATCACCTTGCAAAGCTAAAAGTAAACCTGCACAAATCTCCAAACTTGAAGGTAAATGATCTGCTTTTCCTTCCAAACATCTGATTTATGCTCCTTTTCTTTAAAGATAAAGCGTAAACATGCAAAAGTGATGATGTTGTTACAGAGAGCAGCAGAGCTGATTCTAATCCTGGGGCTTCACGGAGCTCAGACCTGTAAGCATATTCATCCACTTTGTGTCATTTTATTTATCTTAACAATAATTATGAGTTTTTATGTTTGTGTGGATCAGTATGACAACAGAAGTGATTGACATTGATGCAGAAGATGTGGTGGTGGTAGAAGATGAACCACAGAAAGGTAAGGATCCATTTTCTTCATTGTATCACTTTTTGTTTAAGTATCTCGACACTTTGTGCTTTTATTCCTCCATTTTTGTGTCTTTTTATGCCACATTTTTCCTACTTTTAGGTAAGAGCAAAAAGAAGAAGAATCCAACTAAGAGGAAACCCAGAAAAGGTGCAACTCCCCTCTTTTAAACACTCATCCAAATCCATAATCACTTGGATTAAATGCCTTTTTTACCCCATTTTGTGCACAGAGGACCCAGTTTTGTTTGAGGATCTGGACTTTGCTGCAGCGCTGAGCGGATCAACACCAGCTGTAGGAGCAAAGAAGAAGAAAACTGCTGTGAAGACTAATCCCGAACAGAGTAAGATCAACCCAGAAATATGCTTTCTGGGTCAGATACTTAAGGTTTGTTAGCGTGAGTTCATAGTTGCTATATCCGTTTACCTTTATGTGTGCAGGTGTTGAATCATCAGTGACTGTAAACACAGACGATGACTTATCAGCTAGAACAACTCTCATCATCTGTCCTCTCTCGGTGCTCAGCAATTGGCTGGTAGGATCTCAGTTGTTGTGTCTTGCTCAAAAATACATCAATCTCTTTGTTTTCCCGCTCCACCTTAAGTGTGTCATACCTGCTGCTCCTTCGTTTGCAGGACCAGTTCAAGCAGCACATGAACCCCGACGTGAAGCTAAATATCTATCTGTATTACGGTCCAGATCGCAACAGGAACAAAAAGTTTCTGTCCTCTCAGGATGTGGTGATCACCACCTACAACGTCCTCTCCACTGACTTTGCGGTGAGCGCAGATGGGTTCAGGAGCACTGAGTTTACTAGCCGAAACAAAATGCAACAGTCATTTATTTTTCCATTTTCTGTGGGACTATTAAAGGATTATCTAATCTTTTCAGAACAAGGGCCCCCTCAATGAGATCAGCTGGCTCAGGGTGGTGCTTGATGAGGGACACGTCGTTAGAAACCCAAACGCACAGATGAGTAAAGCCGTGTTGGAGCTCAAAGCTCAGAGGCGTTGGATTCTTTCGGGTCAGGGGTGGTTGTGTGATTACAGATTGGTCGTTGTACACCTTAAATGATAAAATTCATTCAGACAGTTTGAAAGGAGATAAACAAGCTTCCATGTGTGGGACTTTCAGGTACGCCCATCCAGAACAGCGTGAAGGACCTGTGGATGCTGCTGGCTTTCCTGCGCCTGAAGCCCTTTGATGCGAGAGAGTGGTGGAACAGAGTGATCCAGAGACCCGTTTTGCAAGGAGACAGAGACGGCCTGAAGTGAGCTATACTGCTGCAGTGTGTCAAAAACACCACTAAATGGAGTCATTTACCGTGACAGACTCAGCCTGAGGGACACATTTGCTCATCTGTCTTTATTGTTCATGAATGTGTTCTGTTCTCCAGTGTTATGTTTCTCACACACCTTTATGATGAATGCTTCATGCAATTCTGCAGAAACCTTCAGAACCTGGTCAAGTGTATCACCCTGAGACGAACCAAGAACAGTGAGGTAAACGGACGCCGTGTGGTGTCGCTGCCCGAGAAGACGGTGTTTGTGGAGCAAGTGGAGCTCAGCCAGCAGGAAAGGGAGGAGTATGAGCTGGCACGCAACGAGGGGAGGCGCACCATCGGCAGGTAACGGATGTGTGAGAGCATGTCTGAGAATGGAAACATCCAGAAACGCAACTGTGTTGACATTAAACGGGACCGGTGCTGTTGATGCAGCCACGTTTAGTGTTCTGAAGATTCTGGGTTTTGTAGATACGTTGCTGAAGGGTCCGTTTTGAAGAATTATGCTGATGTGCTCGCCATCCTGATGAGGCTTCGACAGTACTGTTGCCACAGTGACCTGCTGCCAAAGACATCCTCAGATTTAGGTAAAAAAAAAAAAAGAAGAAGTTTGTCACAGTGGTGGAATGTCAGATGTGTAAACAAAGCTGAAGTAGCTCTCTCCACCTTTGGGTTCAACATCTAGGTCCAGCAGCGACGCCTGCAGAGCTGCGGGAGTGTCTGATAGAAAAGCTGCGGTTGGTGTTGGCCAGCGGCTCTGATGAGGAGTGCTGCGTGTGTTTGGACTCTCTCGTCCTGCCCGTCATCACACACTGCGCTCATGTTTTCTGCCGGCCTTGCATCGCCCAAGTCATCGGCAACGAGCAGGTATCTCTGCTGCCCTCAGCATCAGGAGAAATGGATCTGTCTTTGGCCTAAAAAGTCTTTATGCTCTGCGAAAAGAACAAGGCTCGATGTCCTCTCTGTCGAAGCGAGATCAAGACCAGTGAGCTGGTGGAGTTTCCACCGGAGGGGATGGAGCAGGAGAAGAATGTGAGCTCTGAGAGTTGGAGGACGAGCTCAAAGGTAGTCGCCGCACGAGCTGAAGATGCATAACAAACTAGAGAATATGAAGAGGAACCACAAAACAAATCTGGATGAGTCAGAGCTTTGCATTCATATTTTAATTTTCTGCATTCTTGTAAACAAACTGTGCACAATAGATCTTTCTTTTTTACTTTCACCAGGATCAAAGTAAAAAGAAAAAAAGAAGCTTTTGTTGGTAGTGCAAAATGCTCAGTTGCACATTTAATAATATGGCAAACAGCAAGTTTTATTAGTAGTATTAGTAGTAAAAGTATTTTCTATGTAATTTATGGTAATACAATATTCAAATAACAAAACAGCCTATTTGGACATGTGTTTGTTTCCTCAGATTCAAGCGTTGATGGGGAATCTTCTCAGACTGCAGTCTGAAGACAACAACATTAAATGTCTGGTTGTCTCTCAGTTTACACGCTTCCTCACCATCCTGGAGACTCCACTCAGGTAACACACACACACACACACACAGGAGCTGCTTTGTGGTTTGTCGTTGCTGTTCTTGTGACTCGATTTCTCTTCCAGGCAACATGGTTTCCGTTTTGTGCGTTTCGACGGCTCTATGAGCCGGCAGAAGAGAACTCAGGTCATCGAGGAGTTTCAGAGCTCTGCAGCAGGTGGTCCTACCATCATGCTGCTGTCACTCAAAGCTGGAGGAGTGGGGCTCAACCTGACTGCAGCCTCTCGTGTTTTCCTCATGGACCCTGTGAGTTGCACACATCGCTGCAGGAACCAAATGCATTTACATGGAGACGCGCTGCACGGTTCATCAGGATGTGCAGAAAGATTTTTTATGTTTTTTTTTACATGAAAACAACAAAGCAGAAGAAGCAGTAAATAAACAGAGATGAGCTGTTTTATAAGTAAAAGCAACGTTTGCTTTTCCACGAACATTTAACTGCTGGTATGAACAGCAGTAGCTCAGGAGGTAGAGGGGGGTGTCCAGTGATCAGAATGTTGCAGGTTTGATCCCAACACCACCATAGAATGCTGCTGTTGTGCCTTAGGGCAAGACACTTAACCCACTTTGCCTGCAGGTGGTGTTTGGAGGGACCAGTGGCGCTAGTGTATGGCAGGCCTCGCCTCTGTCAGTGTGCTCCAGGGCAGCTGTGGCTACATAGCTCATCAACACCAGCGTGTGAATGGGTGGATGACTGATTGTAAAGTGCCTTGGGGGGGTTGTAGAACCCTAGGATGGCACTATACGAATACATGACATTTACCATAACATTATTAAGGATAGGATTTATGGTTTCCTGTATCCTGATGAAATGTTGTAAACGAGAACCAAACAGTTTTTTTGTCTGTTTTAGGCGTGGAACCCAGCTACCGAAGAGCAGTGCATCGACCGCTGCCACCGTTTGGGCCAGAACAGGAAAGTTGTTGTCACCAAGGTCAGAAACACACACATCTATATACAGTGGGATGTAAAAGTTTGAGCAGCCTTGTTTATCTTCATGATTTTCCTTTATAAATCGTTGGTTGTTACGATAAAAAATTCAGTTAAATATGTCATATAGGAGACACACAGTGATAACTGAGAAGTGAAACAGTTTATAGGATTTACAGAAAGAGTGCATTAATTGTTTAAACAAAAGTAGGCAGCTGCTTAAATTTGGGCCCCACAAAAGAGAAATGAACTCAAAATTCATTAGATCCTCCTTTTGCAGAAATAACAGCCTCTAAACACTTCCTATAGCTTCCCACGAGAGTTTGGATTCTGGTTGAAGGTATTTTGGACCATTCGTCTTTACAAAACATCTCTAGTTCATTCAGGCTTAATGCTCTCTAAGCATGGTCAGCTCTTTTTAACTCACACCACAGATTTTCAATAGTGTTCAGGTTTGGGGGCTGAGATGATTGTTCCAGAACGTTCTACTTGTTCCTCTGCATGAATGCCTTAGTAGATTTTGAGCAGTGCTTAAGGTTGTCTTGTTGAAAGATCCAGACCCAGCGCAGCTTCAGCTTTGTCACTGATTACAAGATTCCCAGTCCCTGCACTGGCCACACAGCCCACATCATGATGGAACCACCACCATGTTTTACTGTAGCAGGTAGCAGGTGTTTTTTTTGGAATGCTGTGTAGCGTTAGGAAGTATGATGGTCTGTCCTTAACAGCTGCCCCTTCACACAGTAACACCGCCAAGGTCGGACGCTTGGTTCAGTATGTTTACATTCCAGGAGAAGAGACAGAAGAACAGAAGAAGAACGCTTTTCATGGGTTAATCAAAGTACTTCATTTGTGATAAGCTAATCAAAGCATTTGTTGATCATTAATAATCAGGTGAATGATCTGTGAAATAAAGATGTCATGAGTTATGTGTTTAAATGAATAAACAGGGCTGCATCAGTCACACTGATATGCATTACCATGGAAACGCATGACACATTGTTTTCAACCAATCGGAACTTTCGTCTGTGGTAGGGCAGAATCTGGTTTGTTTATGAAAGTAGTCCAATCCGGTTTACTAAGATTCTCAAACAACTGGGAGATATAAAAAGAAGGCAACGCCATTTTAGTTCAGTTCCACGTTACGTTCCACTTCCAGCAGTTACGTATTAACTCAGCTCCAGGACATCCGAGTTCCTAAGGATTTCCATCGTCATCATTAAGAAGTTCAGACTGGCCAGCTGGACTTCCTACTTTGAGCTGAAATCTGTCAAGCTTGAGATTTTCCGTCGTTTATACCAACGAGACGGCGGTCCTTCAAAATAAGAGTGAACTTGTTGACGCCTGCCGATGTTACCTGAGTCGACCCTTCAGACGGGCGTTGTGTGCTGTGACCGCTGTTTCAACCAGCTCCAGTATCGCTGAAGGTCCAAGACCTGGCAATTCCTGATCTAACACGGGAGACTCTTCCTGGGTACGTAAATACGGCAAATGGCGGCTCATGTCATCAGCTTCTGAAGCCTCGTGGTAGCCTAGTCATAACAAACCAGACTCGCTACTCAGCCTAGAGATTCTGAACAAACACACACACACACACACACCAACACTAAACATCTACATCCATATGCATCCATCATTGAGATAGTCCTGGTAGATTGTAAGAATTTATAATTATAGAAATTAAAGATTCTTAAACGATCCCAACTCTCTCTCCTTGTCTCTCAGTCAATACAAAGTGTTTAAGTAAACTCCCTGATGATAAAAACAACCTCTTCTGATTGATTACTTAGTTTGTATAAATATACAAAATCAGGTAATTAAATTATCTAATTACAGTATATAAATATACAACTTCAAATCACAACAGTTGTTATTTTTCCTCCATGCATAACACCCCTTGTTATGCCCAAATAACTCAATTTTAGTTTCATCAGTCCACAGCACCTTATTCCAAAATGAAGCTGGCTTGTCCAAATGTACTTTAGCATACCTCAAGCCGCATTTTCTAAGGTTTCCACTTTGCGGGCTGCATTACCAAGCGCCCTCGGGCTGGTTTTTCATTTGTCTGCTTCTGTTAGCGGTGGTTCTGACTTTTCAACGACTTATTCGCGATGATTTATGTAAGTTAATAGCAGAGGTTAAGCCTAGTGGTTCTCCAGATGACATTTTGCCTTTCCATTTTTTTAAAGAAGCAATTTTTGGTCATTGCTCTAATAATAGTTCAGATTAATCCGAGTTGATCTTCACAAAAATGAGAACCAAAATAATAGGGATACATACAAAGGCAAATGTTAAGGTCACCTCCGAGTCAGACGGCACTTTCAGAGTACAGATCAGGCACAAGAGAGGGTCTTGGATTCTACCAAAATCATTGAAAGAACCATTAATGGAAAACCTGAACTTCACAAGCTTCAGATTGTGTAAGACTTCCTTCAGCCATTGACCGTAAGAGGGTGGTCGGTCTAACCTCCATCTGAGCAGGATTAATATCCGAGGCAGCAAAGTGGTGAAAGCTATAGCATGTCTCAGTGTCTTAAGAGATGTTTGGAATGGAAGAGATGCCAAAAGTTGCTGATAAGTGAATCAGGAAGTATGGTCTGATTATAGGCTAGACCAAGTGGGTCAAATATTTTTCCCCAGTGTGTTCAGTTTGGAACAGGACCAGAACATGAACATGATTAGCAGGGTCTTATAGGACAGTGTTTCCCAAGCCTGGTAGTCAGGGACCACTGTCCTGCATGTTTTCAATGTCTCTGCTTCAGCACACCTGATTTACATTGGCTCCTCAGGAGGACATCAAGTGCTGCACCTGCCTGTTAGTCACTCATTCATTTAAGTCAGGTGTGTGGCAGCAGAGACACGCTGGAGTTTGAAAGGGCGACATGGAGAACATGTAGGACGGTGGTCCCTGAGGACCTGGGTTAGGAAACACTGCTGTAGGATATATGTTTTATCGTAACAACCAACGGTTTATACCGGAACATCATGAAGATTAACAAGGCTGCCCAAACCTTTGCATCCCACTGTACATATATTTGTTCTGCCGTACGGTCACTGACACAAAAAGCTTGTCTGATGCTGCAGTTCATCGTGAAGAACTCTGTGGAGGAGAACATGGTAAAGATCCAAAGAAAGAAGCAGGACCTGGTGGAGAAGGCGTTCGGCTTGCCTAGCACAAACAAGAAAACTTCTCGCATCGATGATATCAGAGCTCTGATGGAGCTGTAAACAGATGTAGCGTTTTGAGCCTTCTGTTAACGGAGGAGATTCTCACATTTTAGAAAATATTTGGTATAAACAGCTTACCAGTTTTGTGTTCACATTTTCATTTTGAATAAAAAAATACATTTTACCTCGGGTGCTTTTTTATTTTCAATTCTTTTACAAATAGAACTGGCAGAAGATGAACTAGAGGAGGTAGAAACACGAGTATAGATGATCCAGGGAGGGGTGGGGGGGGGGGGGGGTGGGGGGGGGGGGTACAACTTTGTCCCCACAGGGTCAGAACGACCTAGTTAAAACAATCGAAGGGCAACATTGAAAAATAAAACATTCAGGGTTTTACATTATAGAAATAGTCAGGACTTAAACAAAACATCTGTAAAAATAAATTTAACAGTTTTGAAAAATGTGACAAACTCACAAGGGGAAAAAAGGTGCCTAGATTCATGTTTAGATATTTTTTCCTTTAAACTTTAAACATTTCTCCCAAATAAATAATAATTAGACAGTTTTCTGCAAACCTGTCAATCCCAAAGGAAGTCCTAAAGAAATGTAGTCTCACTGTTAAATGAAAAACAAACGAATGAGAATATTTTACACACATTTATTAGGATATACATTTAATAACTGGGGGAAAATGTGCATTTAATATTACTACAGTTAAGCTCTGATCCACTTCCACACACTCAAGCAGCCTTTAAACTTTTGCTTCAAGTGGATTTGGTGGACGGAGGAGCGCTTTCAGTGCTGCAGGAGAAGTGAGGTGGTGTAAACAGTGGAGAGGCAATAAGGCAGCTGGTTACACTACAGAGGGGAAGTGATGAAACCCAGGTCATGGCACAAGCACCCACGTGGGTCTGGTGGAGACGTACATGCAGGACATGAGTACAAGATGAAGGGAAAATAATGTTCAGTCCAACCAAAAAATGTCTACATAAATACGGGTGGAAGCACACTATTATAGACCCACATGTTTACTTTGTGTCATGCAAAACATAAAAATCACCAAACAAGCTGGAGTTACAGAAGACGTGGACAGAAACTCCTGAGACTGCATTTCTGCTTCGTACTGGTTTGGACCGAGGAATAAAAGCCATGGAAAACATCCGGAGCTGAAAGCTAGACCTGCACTTACTCATGTTGCTCAAAGTTTTCCACAAGTTAGGAAGATTTATGAACACACCTAGGAATGAGGAAAACAAACTTCTGGAGCTGCACCAAATGTAAAAAGACGCGGTTTGGGCTTTGTGAAGCTAGGTAGCATGGACGTAATTTTTTGGGGGGGACAGGGGGGACATATCCCCCCCCCACTTTTTCCAAAGTCAAGTTTTGACCCCTGCACTTTTTACCATCCAAAAACAATATTACGCTATATTAAATTGACACTGGTTGAGCTCTAGGACCAAGCGGAAAACAACAGTTTGTGTTGAAGCCGGTTTCCCATTAGAACATACTGTAAAGATACCCCCCCCCCCCCCCCCCCCGGTCCCCTCCCACTTCTTAAGTGAAAATAACGTCCTTGCTAGGTAGATCATTAGCATTTTAACTTTTTAAAGGGGGTGTCTAAAAAATAAAAAAAACATAACCAAAGACAAGCACCTAAAACGTAATTTTCATAACAGATGAATTACATTTGTTTTACTCAGATGTTAAATGTCTTGACTATTTGTTGCAAAGCATCAGAATTTGTAGGAAATGGTTTTAAATTGTGCCGGTTTGATTTTGTAGCCATTTTCCCCTCCAGTTACAAACTCAGCACGTTACACATTAATCATAGTCTGGAAATTCTACTTTTTAACATTTATTTGACCTTATATTGTTCATTTTTAAAGTGCTGAGATTAAACTGTCTCCATGTTAACTAGCTGCTAGTGGGATGAAACGTTTTAAGATCCAACCGTCTGAACAAGGACATGTCAGCCTTTTCCTTAAAGAGGGGAAATAATGGATTGTGCTGGAATTTTGTGAAACTTCTACATTTTCCACGCAGACAGAAGGTGGAGAATAAAACCTCCAGTCACCCGCTAATGAAGTGCTTGTGTTTAACAGTGATAGTAAATCCTCCCCACAACCTCACACACCAACTGGTGTCCGCGTCACTCCCACCATCCCGCTACTTGAGGAAGGAGTTCAGTTTTTGTTCGATGTTGGCGAAGGAATCGTCACCCATGTAGTCAATCTGGCCTGCTTCCCAGCGCTGTTTCCTCTCCTCGGACGAAATCCTCTGGGAGGGAGGAGCAGCGAAGGGCTGCAACTGTTCTCTCACGTCCTCGTGAAATTTATTCTGAGAGAGAAAGCATGAATGTTAATGAAACTATGAGAGGACAGGTCCTAGTGCTGTCCAGTTGCAGAGACAACTTTGAAAGACAACTGCAGCTTCTGCATCACGACTGAGCCATCACTCGAGGCCAGACTATTAACATATAGGATGGCTTGCCATGCTAAAATCCAACTTGTTTTTTCTGATAGCCTGATGAGTCACATTGAGGCACATGTAAGGACCACACACCCATTTAAAGTGAGGGTCAATGAATGGGTGGATACATATTTCATCCACACTTCCTGTTAGAAAAACACTTCTGAAAGACGCGTCACCTGGCGAACCGAGAGAGCGACACTGAGGCAGTGATAGACCGCACCCCCCCTCAACCCCCCCACGTGCGCTGTCAGAGTTTCTCAATCTAAAAACGAGTTGTTAACCAGCGCGTGTGCACTCGCGCGTGCACGCACTCACACAAAACTTACCGCCCAGGAGAAAAGCAGACACAGATTCTGCAGCATTCTGGAGGATTTCCTGTTAAACGCGATCATTAGATGAAAAGGGGAGGAGGGCATTTTTTTCAAGGAGGCAAACGGCTCCAAGCGCTAACGTGTCAAATCAGCAGGTGCGTGGCTGAGCCAGGTGGAGGTGCGGCTGCTTCACCTGGAGACCAGTGCGGTGCAGCCACGTAGTACTTTGCTGACAATGTCACGTTTTTCAGCTTAGCCATCAACCACAGCTGGTTCTACATGAATGTGGAGCAGAGTTTTTAACCTGAAGATGGAGATAAAATCATAGTTTTGGGCTGAAATATTACATTTTAAGTAAGATACACTAAACTAATGATTACACATGTGCACAGCACCATTAGACATTCATCTATACAGGTTATCAGCAACAAAAGTTAATTTAGGCGTTACTTGCTCTTTAATGAGCAACACAGCTAAATATGCTGTAAAAATGCTAACATCTTACAATGGTCTCTTGTTAGTTTTTACACCCGTTTTTTGGCACAAAAACGATAGCTCTCCTTTGCACAGGTCCTACTCATTTTTTGAGTTTACTCCAACAAGACGCATTTATGCCATGCAACTAGGAGTTTTGTATTCCAGTACGCAGAGTGGTGTCAGCCTAGGTGTCATATCCACAAACTGGTTCCTCCTCCTTGCTTCACTAAAGCTTTCTTGCAGGGAATTAATGTCCAGATTTGCATGAGTAACAACAGACTACTCAGATGGGGAGACATAAACCACACATGTCAAGTTGCCACTATGACTGCCTTTTGCTGTCGGACCCGCTTGCACTAGTGTGGACAGTTTGGGCAGTGGAACACAAGAATGTAGGGCAATGTCACGTTCAATGGTCTTCCGGCAGAAGCTGGATCAAAGCGTGGAGATGGAGTGGAGAACACAGCAGACTGCAGAACAAGTCACATGACATCTTTCAACAGGAGTGGTGTAAAAATGGCAGATGTGTTGATGTTTCCTTGTTACGACCCAAGTCGCAAAAGAAACTCAAAAACGAACCTGAAAGATACCGTCACATGCTGACTAAATGCCGTGTTGCTCGTTTGTTTCATGGACGCATTGAAATTCATAGTGGAAGTGACCAATTAGGCTTTCTAACTGGAAATAACTTAAATTATGCCTTCAAATGTTTCAGTAGATTGGCTGTAAAAGAACACGCAATATCATGTTTATGCTGTAATTTAGTCAAATTCCTCAGCTTGTGACAATATAACAAATTGGCAAAGCAGAGATTGAGAATTACTAAGGAATTAAAATTGAACCTGGGATGTTTTTCCCTTTATTGGCTCCATTTAGTTTAATTTAAGGGGAAATAAAGTTAAAAACCCATAGTCATCATCATACACTGGTGAAATTCATCTCTGCATTTGACCCAGCCCCATGAGGTGCGGTGAGCTGCAGCAGTGGCCGCGCTCGGAAACTATTTGGTCGTTTAACTCCCCCCAATCCAATCCCACCACACCTGAATGGAGTAATTTAATCCTCTCCTTACCACGTTTAACTCTACACAGGCCTAATTACTCATTCAGTTCAACGTGTAAGATGGCAGCCCTCGAGGACCGGAGTTGGTGACCCCTGGTTTAGAGGCAGAAGAGACCCAGATGGCGACACAAAGAAACATCATGTGGATTTAGAATAATGCCACCTGATCTAATACAGTGGGGCAAAACAGTATTTAGTCAGCCACCGATTGTGCAAGTTCTCCCACTTAAAATGATGACAGAGGTCAGTAATTTACATCATAGGTACACTTCAACTGTGAGAGATAGAATGTGAAAAAAAATCCATGAATTCACATGGCAGGATTTTTAAAGAATTTATTTGTAAATCAGGGTGGAAAATAAGTATTTGGTCAATAACAAAAATTCAACTCAATACTTTGTAACATAACCTTTGTTGGCAATAGCAGAGGTCAAACGATTACTATAGGTCTTTACCAGGTTTGCACACACAGTAGCTGGTATTTTGGCCCATTCCTCCATGCAGATCTTCTCGAGAGCAGAGATGTTTTGGGGCTGTTGCCGAGCAACACGGACTTTCAACTCCCTCCACAGATTTTCTATGGGGTTGAGGCCTGGAGACTGGCTAGGCCACTCCAGGACTTTCAAATGCTTCTTACGGAGCCACTCCTTTGTTGCCCAGGCGGTGTGTTTGGGGTCATTGTCGTGTTGGAAGACCCAGCCATGTTTCATCTTCAAAGCTCTCACTGATGGAAGGAGGTTTTGGCTCAGAATCTCACGATACATGGCCCCATTCATTCTTTCCTTAACACGGATCAGTCGTCCTGTCCCCTTATCAGAAAAACAGCCCCAAAGCATGATGTTCCCACCCCCATGCTTCACAGTAGGTATGGTGTTCTTGGAATGCAACTCAGTATTCTTCTTCCTCCAAACACGACGAGTTGAGTTTATACCAAAAAGTTCTACTTTGGTTTCATCTGACCACATGACATTCTCCCAATCCTCTGCTGTATCATCCATGTGCTCTCTGGCAAACTTCAGACGGTCCTGGACATGCACTGGCTTCAGCAGCGGAACACGTCTGGCACTGCAGGATTTGATTCCCTGCCGTTGTAGTGTGTTACTGATGGTGACCTTTGTTACTGTGGTCCCAGCTCTCTGCAGGTCATTCACCAGGTCCCCCCATGTGGTTCTGGGATTCTTGCTCACCGTTCTCATGATCATTTTGACCCCACGGGATGAGATCTTGCATGGAGCCCCAGATCGAGGGAGATTATCAGTGGTCTTGTATGTCTTCCATTTTCTGATAATTGCTCCCACAGTTGATTTTTTCACACCAAGCTGCTTGCCTATTGTAGATTCACTCTTCCCAGTCTGGTGCAGGTCTACAATTCTTTTCCTGGTGTCCTTCGAAAGCTCTTTGGTCTTGGCCATAGTGGAGTTTGGAGTCTGACTGTTTGAGGCTGTGGACAGGTGTCTTTTATACAGATAATGAGTTCAAACAGGTGCCATTAATACAGGTAACGAGTGGAGGACAGAAAAGCTTCTTAAAGAAGACGTTACAGGTCTGTGAGAGCCAGAGATTTTCCTTGTTTGAAGTGACCAAATACTTATTTTCCACCCTGATTTACAAATTCTTTAAAAATCCTGCCATGTGAATTCATGGATTTTTTTTTCACATTCTGTCTCTCACAGTTGAAGTGTACCTATGATGTAAATTACTGACCTCTGTCATCATTTTAAGTGGGAGAACTTGGACAATCGGTGGCTGACTAAATACTTTTTTGCCCCACTGTATATCCCATTATCTGGTAAAACCAGCTCACCAAACCATACATTTAACTTTAACTGGAGGTTTGGTGTAGAAGTGTTGAATAATTCATAGAATTAAAATGCATGTTTCAAAGGTTCCTGTGAAAGTAGTAATCATAGTGATGCAAGGAAACAGTGAATGAAATACTGCAATTTCCTCATTCTTTAGCGGTAAGAATGGAGAAAAATGTAAGCGTAGCATTTCAGAATTATAATCAGGAGGGGTAAAAAAAAATCCTTGTTAGTATGACAATGCAACAGTTATAAGCTGCAGGTTTTGCAGCGGCCCTTTTCATGTCTGACTCAACATTTCACTACAGTGCCGTTGCCACAGACTCCATGGGAACTTTCTGCTAAGTTCATAAGATAAAAGAGAAGATATTTCACCCAGTGATCAGATTTCCACACACTCTGGGTTTGATGATTATGCAACATGCAAACACACTTTAATAGTCATTCCAAACACACCCAATCCAGCCCCACTTCCTCTTCTCAAAAGGTCACCTACCTGACTACTCGGGTCGACAAAGCCGCTGTTGAAGGGGTCATCACCGTAAGCCTTCTGCAGGACAGGCATCACAGATCTGGCAAAAACCTGCCACCACTTGAGCAGGTAGTCAGGGTGCAGCTGGCACTGCTCAGGCGGCATGGAATGACCTCTGACCTCACCCCTCTGAGCATCATAGGCGTAGTTCCAAGGTTTTACTTTGCCCAGGAAGTGGACCACTTTAGCATTTTGGCCATACCTGCGCAGAAAAAAAACTGCTGGTGCATTTATTCCAACTAACTCAAACATCAAAGTTATTTCAGAAATGTTTTCTTTTGCAAATAAAATAGCAACAGACACAAAAATGGATGAACTCTGAAGTGACCTTGAGAAAGCTAAAGGAGTCAAACACTACAGGTCCACATGAACGCTGCAGAATTAGCCAGAGACTAAAAGGTGAAGAAAGACTTGAGGAATTGGCCGATTGATGGTGTGTGTGTGTGTGTGTGTGTGTGTGTGTGTGTGTGTGTGTGTGTGTGTGTGTGTGTGTGTGCGTGTGTGTGTGTGTGTGTGTGTGTGTACTGACTCTTTAAAAGCTGGAAGGTAGGAATAGATGGCAATACTGCTAAGGTTGTAGATAAAAGGCAGGTGTTTGGAAATATCCGCTGTAGCCCAGGTGTTAAAGAAGCTGTTGAGAACCCCCTGATCTCCACCTGCAGACAATAAAATGTTTTGAGAGCAAAACACAAGCCAATCAAGAGCTCATTTATCAAGTTAAACACCCAACAAGTGATGTGCATGCAACCATAATTGGATATTGACCATCCTATTTAAAAGATTAGCATTGTCACATTCAAGTTCAGCACATGCTGCATGAATGATCCACACCACAGATTCTGCACATTCCCATCATTACACATAGCAGTGCTGTCGACACATGAAAGGATGGAGCATTCTGTTAGTGACAACACATTGGGCCAACAATACAATAAGAGATTAAATTGAATTTAACGGCATACTATGCAACTTGTTCATTTTTTGAAAGCCAGTATGTGCTATAATGACCCTTTCCAGGGTTAATGAAATGTCACTCAGACCCCATCACCCTCTGTGGCCAGAATCGGAAGGTGACTGTGTTGGTTCTACTGGATCTAAGCGCTGCCTTCGATACAGTAGACCACACTATTCTTTGAACTCGTTTAAAACAGATTGGCCTCTCTGGTGCTGTCCACAGATGGTTCACATCCTACCTCACAGACAGGACTTTAATGGTAAGTTTAAATACCTGTTCCTCGAGGGTCCATGGGATTACATGTGGTGTGCCCCAGGGTACAATTTTAGGCCGAGTTCTTTTTAACCTTTATATGCTCCTTCTTGGCAGTGTCATAGGAGACATGGAGTCAATTTTCACAGTTATGCTGATGATACACAGTTGTACATCTCCGTGTCTCCTGATGACTCTCGGCCAATGGATGCACTTTTTAACTGCATTTTAGACATCAAATCCTGGATGGCAGAGAAGTTTCTCCAGCTCATCCAGGACAAAACTGAAGTTTTAGTCAACGGTCCTGAGGCCCAGAGAGAGAAACTTTTACCAAAATTACAATCTTCTTTTAACCCTTCTGAACAAGTGAAGAACCTGGGTGTGATTTTTGACTCTGAGTTTACTTCCATCTCGCACATTAAAAACATCACAAAAATAGTTTTTTTATCATCTAAAGAACATTGCCAGAGTCCGCCCTATTCTCTCTCGGGCCAATACAGAGATGCTGATGCATGCTTTTATCACCAGTAGAATAGACTACTGTAATGCCCTGCTTTCTGCTCTTCCCCAAAAAAAGAGCATCTATGTTTTATATGATTATATTTTAGCACAGTTTCATTGATTAATATTATTTTATTGTCCATATGATTTAAATTATTTTCTTACTTTTGCCATTTATATTAGCCCTTTTATTTTCATAGTTTTTACTCATTTTAATCCAGTTTTCTCTGTAGGGGCCCTCTGCCCCAGGGGTGGTGGGTGGTCGACTGTTGCTTCCTGGGCGCTCTACATGTAGTGTTTGAGTGGAGGTGGGGGTCTATGCTCTCCCTCCTCTGAGCGCCCTGGCTTGGTTGCTGTGGAAGACCTGATGCTGCCAGGGCAGACGGCTCCTCTGATGGCATTTCCTTGCCTTACCTTACTTGGCTCATCTGGACTCAGCCAAATATAAAGTTTTATGTGATTGTGTGTGATTATGTGTGTGTGTGTGTGTGCGTGCGCGCGCATGAGCGTGCACGCACATTCGCATATGTCTGTTAATGTTTTCAAACTGTTATGGGAATTTGGGGTCATTTTAAATCTGTAAAGCACTTTGAGTCACACTTTGCTTGAAAAGCACTTTATAAATTAAATCTGATTGATTGATTGATTGAATACCACACTTGCAACTTCTGAGTTGCCAGTCCGGTTCCTGTTGGACTTAGTAAAATGAAGCAGACGCCTGGTGCTGGAGTTTGCTTCCAGCATGTTTTAGATCCTGAACACTGCTGATTTGTTTGATTTACTGATGAACCGCTGCAGTAGAAATTAATGAAGGCTGAGGAGACATTTCAGCTGTTAGATTAAGGTGTTTGAAAGACAAAGCAAGGAAAGGAGTTTTGTTTTTACTACCAGACACTAGGGGGTGCTAAAAGGCAAGCCAAAACTGCTTAGTATCTCTTTAACATATTTTAAAAAGTTCAATTGAAGATAAGAGATGGCAAACTTGAAAATGTTCACATCTTTTTGCAGCCCGTGAATATAAACAAATTTTTTAAAATAATTTTGGCTGATAGCCGATATAGAAAAAATTCAATACATCAGCCGGACGATATATTGGTCGGCCTCTAATTGATATGGCAATGTATCGTGATATATCGCATCTTCTCCCCTGTATCATATGTATCGCATTACCAGAATTTCACTAATTTGCTGTAAAAATAATAAATGGATTAATCAGCATTAATTAATTTTCATACCCCTAACAGTGGCAAAGTTGCAAGAATGAAAAACTCCCACCACTCTCAGAATAGGAAAAGCCCAGACCACACATGTTAAATCATGAAGATAGGGAACCTGTTTTACAATCGGACTGGCATTGTAACTTCTTCCACTGACACTCAAAAGTTCAATTTTCTATGTTCCATGTTCAAGTTTTGACCTCAAAATCCATTATGGCATCCTCATGCATGAAAAGACTCAGCACTGTCCAAACAACTATAAGTGAACATGGTGATACAGAGTTATGCAGGACAATACATTCTCTACATGTATGGCTGATAATAAACAAGCCTGTTTGCAGCTAAAACAAGTTGATAAATCATTCCTCACAATATTGTACCTTGCTTAAAGTCTTACTACTCACCATCAAAGCTGCCGTTATCCATGCAGAACGTGACTAGCTGTTCGTACGTCTCATTGGACGGTATGAAGACAAAAACCCCAGAGTTAAAGCAGTCCGGCCAACCGGGATCTGGAGCTGCAGATAGCTCCTCCCTCTCAAAGAGTTCATCTATGTTAGACAGCACCTGCAGACAGTCAAAGAACACTGCTCATTTCCTTATTTGTGGGATTATGGTACAAACGTCAGGTTTATTATTTTTTTTACACTTGTTCAATTCTTACCATTGTGTCTGCATCCATGAACACACACTTGCTGTACTGTGTGAGTGTCCAGCAGTGCAGTTTGGTGAAAGTTACTCCCAGGTCTGGTCGCTTCATCAGAGCCAGATGAGCTGCATCGCCAGAGTCCATCACATTCACCTCAAACACCTCATCAAAAATAGAGGCGAGTGCTTTCCTATTAGACAAAATAAAGTCTTGTTGGGCCATGGGGTCATTTTTATTTGATTAAAAGGACAGAAAGCCGTCAGCGTCACCTGCAAGGCTCTGCAAGATGAGGCCCAACCAGTACCACCAGTTTCTTGGTCGTATTGTGGTTTCTTAACGACTGACCGAGAACCAGGGCTCCTTTGGCATAGCTGTCGTTGGTGGCCAGTGTCACAAAAGCTTGGTCTGTTCGAAAAAAATATGTATTTTACATATTTAGCATAGAAATTTATTTCAAGTCTTTACCACAAAAGTATCAGTTTTAGACCAAAAACCAGATGTTTTTTTCCTGTTTTCTCAGATTATTACATCTTTTTAAAATTTGTGATAAACATAAAAATATTTGTATATATAACATACATCAAAACTCACAACATGAAAAACAGCAGTAAAAAAAATCAGCTTAAGATTAAACAGAAGTTAAGAAAATATTCAATAAAATCAGGAAGTGACACATTTCCTTTAGATCCCGTTTTGTTTGTCAAAAACTTCCCTTTTTTGTTTAACCCAATAAGATAAACGAGTACCTATTAATCAAGCTAGCGTTTAAGATGAAATAATTCACACTAGTTGAGTAAATGTAAAGTCCTCAAACGTAGCACTGTTCTTCCAATAAATAATGGCTCTCCGTACCATTATTTGAATAATCTTTATAATATATATACAATAATATATATAATAATCTTCAAATGAAATCATGTACTCCCCAATTCTCAAGAGATTATCAACAGATTTAAATATTTCTTCTTACATCTATGCTTTAATATAAAGACAAATACCCCCCTATTGAGTCTGTTATTCCATGAACAGCAGCAGGACACAAGCCTGACACCAGCACAAAACCCTCATACAGCTGAACCATTCAGTTCTTGGGGTCTTCTGGGAAACCTGACCCGCCTTGTTGTGTGAAGGTTGCTAAGGACCTATTCAGAGAAACGTTAACCAAGGACCAAAAAAGGCCCTACAGGAAACAAGTGTTGCACCTCTCTGTGCTGCCTTAAGACAAGTATTGATACACACAAATGCAAATTTGTTGTAAAAGGCTAAAATGCACACTGATGTGCACACAAACTGCATGTGTACTTTGATTTGTAGATCTGCTCCCAATTTTAGTAAAGTAATATTGTGCACTAGAAATTAAACTCTAGAGGCTTTTTATTGTGCCGAGGGGAAATAAGGCTTTGAAGCTGCACGCTTATGCACGTCCACAATGAGAGGTAACAAGTCATGGTAACAGACAGTAATCATCCAGGAAGTTCAGAGTTTCTTCTTCAAAAATAAAAGCATGCATGCAAACATTCCTCAAAGCAACAAAGCTTGCATTAAACTAAAGAAAACAAGTTCTTTTAATCACTTTTTTAAAGTGTTTTTGTGTGTGCACATGCGCTCGTTTGCTCTGTCTTTTCAAACGCCAAAGTGAAGCCTAGTTTATACTTCGCCAGCTCTACGAGGGACAAACGTGCACGCATGGACAGAGACATTTTGCACTCTGATCTCTCCATCTCCTGCGAGTGTTGCAAAGCAATTCCCTGGCAGGACAACAGAGGGTGTAGCGCTGTTCTGTGGTATCCTGTCATGTATCCGGTCCAAGACACTGCATTTATTTTGAATTTCAGATACTTTTTAGCATGGACAAATTTGCCCTTCATTCTCATCCACCTCTTCATGGGCTCGCCACCTCTAAATCCACGTTTCCCATAATTTAAAATGCTCGCAGCGTATCCTTATACTCCTGAAGTCACGGGTGAATAAAAGTTCACATTTTTAGAGTTTTTCAGCGAGGTATTCTTCAAGCTGCTCCGTATAAATATTTTCGGCTCTCTTGAGAGTGCAATGGCGGCTTAAGTAAAAATTTTGGCAAATTATTTTACTTGAGTAAAAGGTTATTAAAGCATTGGCACTTACGTAGGAAATTTTAGTACCTTCCACCTCTGCCCGCAACCCAACCCCAGATAAGTGGACAATAATGGATGGATGGGCGATAACTAGGTTGACTTTAAATGTTTACTTTGTAAAGTGCTTGAGATGACTCTTGTGATTTGGCGTTATATAAATAAACTAATATTTTATGTCCTAAATCAGGCTGGTTGAAGCACATCCTGCAGACTGTGGTCTGAGGAGTCTGCTTAGACTCACACTCACATAGACTGCTGATTATGAACCTCAAACTGATAATTAAGCATTGATCAGCCAAAAGCACTTGAGTCATGCAGGCACCACCTTGCAGGAAGCGCTCCCCTCCAGGCTTTAGCTAGCATGTGCACTTCCACAGCAATTATTAAGCTACGGGAAGCAGCTGATTGCATGTTGGGGCAAAGTTGATTCACATTTGCAGTTATTAGATTTTGGTATTGCAAGCAGTTTCCACTCACCTTCTGAGAAAATTCACTTCCACTTAAATTATTAGGGTGATCAAAAGCTGGCATGTGGAAATTTGTAGCTCTACTTTGTTAAAAAGTCATATATGATGTAGAAAGCATTTGGTGAATTAACTTAATTGGTTAATTGAAAGAAAACTATGAGGGTTTTAGAACACAAAACATGACACTTTTTTCTTTGAAATCCAGTAAAGTAGTACAACTGTAATTCATATAAATACATACTAAAAATAAGAATTAAATGTGCAGAGCATAAAACCATGCTAAATTAACAGTATAATGTTTAGGTCTCAAATACACATTATCCAATGCCAAAATGCTATTTTCTTGTCTATTGTTTGCATTAATGATTAGCGCATTTGTTATTTATATTTTATGCATTGTAATTGTTTATTTTCTGATTTTAACAAGTCTTTATTTGAAACACAATTGTTATACATTTTAATTTAATAATTTAAAGGGATAGTTTTGGAGAGTGTTGTAATTCATTTTTTTTCAGGATTTTTAAAATTACAAAATAAAATTTGAGTTTCTCACCTTAAACTTTTTCAGGCAAAATTAAACGTCGTCAACACGAGAAAGTCTAGAGTTTGAACCAAAAATGAGAATAGAATCAGAATTTAGAAACTAGATGTAACCTGGTAGAGCTGTATCACACTCGAGTGTGTGTGTGTGTGTGTGTGTGTGTGTGTGTGTGTGTGTGTGTGTGTGTGTGTGTGTGTGTGTGTGTGTGTGTGTGTGTGTGTGTGTGTGTGTGTGTGTGCAGCAATACAGCTGATTTCAATTAGAAATTAGGCACGCTCTACTTAAGGGGAAGGCACACATAACTCTAGATCTACTGCGGTTTGCTGAACTCTTTGCAGAACTACTCGCAGAAGCTCACAGGTGTGCCAAACAGGGCAGACTAGGAGTCACTAATCAGAAGGACCAAACACCTGTCCAGCACCGAGTCGGACGGCTGGAGGCACTGGGCCGACTGGGGGAAGCTCAAGTCATCGTCACTACCTGGCTTCATTTGCTTAATACATATTGGTTTGGTGAAGACAATTCAACTTCCCCCTGGATTTTAATTGGTCTTCCTGCCCTGTTTTGAAGCGATCCGATTCTGTGCTTCATTGTTCACATTAATGCTGGTTGGTCAGATTCACTTCATGTAACATTTTGGGGGGGGGGGGGGGGGGGGGGGGGGGGGCTGATCGGCGGGTGTTACACTACATTAGAATAAACTCGGAGTTGGTTGTTTAAAAATAAAACTTGAAAACCGGAAGTGCTGCTTTTGCAGAATTGTCAGCTTCACCTTTGGTCCAAACCGCTACAGCGACTCCTAAAATCTCACATCACAACCTTGAAGACAAACTCATGAATGTTCCCACTTGTAATTAAATCTAAACACCATATAGAAGTCTGAGTAAAGGCAACAGCAGGAGCGTTTTATGTCGTTCCTGTAAATTCGCGAGATTAAACAGTTTGCGCAGCTCCGATCCGGCCCAGAACCTGTGACCGAGCCGCGGTGTCCCTGCGGCGGAAACGGGATTCTGCCGAACCCCGGTTCTTACCCGACATGGTGGTCTGAAGCGGTTCCACCCGAGGGTCGAGGTTCGGGATGGGGCAGAGAAGCGGCTCGCACTGCGAAGGGCAAAGACGAAGCAGCTGAGAGCAGTCAAACACGGGAATCAAGCCCCACATTTTCCGGATCACGTGACCCCTGACAGCAGACACGCCCCCTGCGTTTTTTGTTGGTTTGTTTTCAGTAGGATCAAAGACACTCAAACATAAACACTCATAATTAAATTTTAGATTGAGCAATTTAAATGTTGCATTGATGGAATAAATCATGCAAAAATGTCAACAGTGTAACAATAATAATAAACTTATCTTATAAATCAGTGCGTGATTTGTTCGTGTCTTTGCACATTGATGTCAGATTATAGAAATAAATGTATGTAGCAGTCTTAAATATAAATGTGTGCTTTTCAGGCTGCAAGACGGAACATAAGTTTGATTTTAATGTCATGTTAACGGGGACCTGATGATGCAGAGGCAGGTGGAAATGGTGGGAAAATAGGATTAAAGAAATAAAAGAACGCACTTTAAAGTGAAACCGTACAACAACATGTGGTCTGAAAATCTGACCAAAGTCCAAAGAGACAGGGTCTGATAAGGATGCGACCTGAGGATTACTGAGAGAAGACATTAAGTGAGTAAATGCCAGCTAATTAGAAACAAGGGCATCACTTTATAATAACTACATCTTATTTAGCCTTAATTACCCATGAATAAACATGCAAGTAACTACTAACAAATAATTAATTAACAATGACTAACTTAAACAATTAACCAATGCACTAATGAATGCTTTGCTTTTAATGATTAGTCCCTTGTAAAAAGCTGTTTACCCATTTCTTATTCATATGTAACAAACCATTAACCACAGGGAAGACAGCACAAGTATTAAATATGAAAAGGAAAGTGCAAATTCTAAACCCATAAATATAATAAAGGAATAGCCTCTTATGTTTAATGTGGTAAACTATTGATGAGACACAGCGTGGCTCACAAGATCAGTTCCTGCATGTTTATATTTGATTTTAAACTAAAATTTGTCCTAAAAGTGTCCCAAGTTGTCTTTAATAAATACATCTGCACAGATCAACTTACTTTTTTAATAAAAAACAAGACAATTCACAAAGTTAGACTGTGTCAGCAGTGCCTCAGAGTGGTCAAGGCTCCACATTACAACGGAATAAACAAAAGAAAACTAAGCAAATCTGAGAAATTCTCTATCATTAACTTTAAAGTGCTTAAAATCAAGTCATATTTAACGTTGTTAGCATAAAAAGAAACTTAAACAGACCAAATTGCAATAGAAGCTATAACATATAGACATGGCAAATAAATTGCATAACTTGTGTTCAGATGTTTTAACATTGATTTATACATTTAAATGCCATATTTGTCATTGAATAATTCTGTCTTTGCTTATTGGAATGAAATTCTTTAATACAACTATTGATAATAAGTTGTGAATTGATATTGTTTTATGTCGATCTGTTTAGGTGTTTGGAAGGAAGCCAAATCTAAGAACATTTTTAAACATATAATAAGATCGACTGTATTTGGCTACTTCAAAATGAAACCAAGGTTTTGTTTCAAAAATATTTAGTTAGCTATTTTTATTATTAGTTTTGTGATAGCAACAAAAATGTGCAAGGGTTAATAGCAGTTTACCTGAATGATAAACTTTTCAAAACTGCAAATTAGCATAATTTTGCTGTGAAAAATATTTGCACCTTTAGTTGTACTTTTTGTTTTATTTTTTGTTGTTTTTTGTACATGTGCTCTTAGGTTTGCTGAATTATGCAGGATGCTCTCAAGAAAGTCAACTAAAAACTGATCCTTGTTCAGGTCTTACCCTCAAAACTGCAGCTTGCACGGCAGGACGCTTACCTGAGACCAGCAGTGAGGAGGAGAGTAACCGGAGAGTACCGGAGTGTCACAGACAGAACAGGGCTGATCAGGTGTCAGAGGAAGAGAGACGCTGAGGTGAGACAGAAAGATGCCGTCCAGTTTGTGGGAAGTCAGAAACCGAGTTCAGATATAACTTTACATTTTATGCCTTTAGTATCCATCTTTAAAGTAAGATGGTAATGTTGTCATGGACTTGAGTCTTGAGTTTGTGCTTTTGAGTCAAGATGAAGAGACAGCTTGACAGGTAAATACAAAGAAGGGGGGGGGGGGTACTGTTAAGAAGAAAAAGGCTAGTGGTGTAGGGGGAAGGTTTAATCCAAAAATAATAAATGAACATTAAAGAAGGAGCTTGAAAGCAAAAAAAGTTCTCAAATCCAAGCTGATTTTCTACTCTGGACTCTCAGCCCATCAGCCTGCCTGCCTGGAACTAAATGTAAGCTTCTTACTTAGATTCTCTTTACTTTTTTACATCACGGCTCTATTCTCTAACCAAAGCCAAATTTATGAGTAACGTCCAATAACAAATATGGCTTCAAAACCTAGTATCCTACAAGTACTTTAACAATCTAAACCAAACACAGTCAGGTTAGCGAATGAAAACCAATTATCTTAAGGTTTGAGAATTGAACTGGGGCAGTTTAAAACTTTGCTTTAGATTACAGGACCTTATGTTGTGTTGAAGTCGTTCAGGTGAGTTTGATTGAAACATTGCAAACTTAAATTTGACACAATCTTTGGATCTTTGCTAGTAAAAATCTGCTTCTGTGTATATTAAAAGAATAATTGCAGTCTAAGGTAAACCTTAATACTGAGTTTTTACATTAAGCTATTTTTGTAATCTTGCCTTGACACCACTTTTACACTAAAGCTAAGAAAATGTATTGATGCAGGACAAGACAGATCTTAAAGATTTTACAAATATTTCGGACTTGGTCATCATTTTGGTTAGTTAGCACAATAACATCGAAAATAAGGTATTCTGTTGGGACGCAGCTTGAAATCTTCTCAGTTTTATGTTGTTTTGAATTTGAAACTTAAATTGGAGAATCAAAAAAGGAACCAGTTATTGAGCTCTTAGTTGAACGAGAAATGTGTTGACTCATTTTAGTAATGGACCTATCATGAGATACGATACGATGCGTTACGATACAATGGGATACGATTAGATACGATACGATGCAATGCGGTGCGATACCATACAATATGATATAGGGATGTAAGAAAATATCAAAATGGCAACATATCGTGATATTTTTTCCAGGAATATTATATCAATACTCAACAGTGGTGTATCAAAAATATTGATATGGCAGTATGTTGTGATATTTTTCCCTGCGAAATTACATCGATATTCAAAAGTCATGTATCAATTTTTGGAAGAATTTACATGCAAACATTGTGTATTTTATTTCCACCATTGAAATATAAATCCCTCTATTATGGTTCAGATACCTCATGTTAAACATGTTAAATATCAGTTTGGACTGTTTATTGAATATTCCTACAATAAATTCAATCAAAAAAATCGCTAATAACGTCTGACTGAATTATCGCAATATTTCGTGAGACATATCACATCGCTAGAATTTCACCAATACACATCCCTGATATGATATGATATGATATGATATGATACGATACGATACGATACGATGCGATGCAATGTGATGCGATACGATACGATATGATATGATATGGAGCATGTTACAAGAAAATAGTTATATCTACATCACAAATTTTAAAGAAAAGAAATCAATTTAACATTTGAGTTTCTTTGGTGGATTTATTTCAAAAAATGCCCAATGCCATGATTAAGTGAAGGTATTTAAGGATGTATCATCAGCATATAAATGTATCTTTAATTGGTTTGGTTTCTCCTGCAATAAATACAAAAATAAGTTGGTAACTAAATCAGATCCCTGTGGAGCACCTTATAATAGAGGCTAATCTTTAGTTTCAATTTCTGACATGCTGGTGAATACAAGTTTAGGCAATTCAAAGCCATTTTATTTTTATACCAAATCAGATCTTTAGACAACAACACATTTTTTATTTTGCCGCTTAGCTGCTACAAATTATTCAATGTCCTCTAATAAAGTAAGAGAAGAAGAGCCAAATATACTGAACATGAGTTCACAGTTTAAAAGCCAGCATCTGTAATGGTTTGGGGTGAATAATTCATGATGCACATATGTTAAGACATCAGTATTGCTGAATGACATACAAACTTTCCAATGCTCACATGGTTTTCGCTGCAGCAGCACAACCCTCTACATATTAAAACAGCATTATTTCATTTTAAGAGTCCATGTGCTAAACTGCTGTCTGCGGTTCTGTAGCATCATCCAATAAGAAAAACACAATGAGTCCTCACTTTCTGTCATCATCTATGTTACCCCATAGAAGATTTTTGAACATTTTTTACTCTCTTTACACTAAACTGACATATAAAAGTTACTTTATGATCAATAACATGATGACACAGCTGAAGTGTTAAATAATAACCATCCAGCTACGCCTACCTCAGGTCCTGGCAGGACAAAGGTCTACTAAGCGATTCCTTCTTTGAGAAGTAATCAGCAGTTAAGCCACTCTAGGATCCAACGTCTTCATTCCAGAGGAAGGTTGAACAGAACTCTGATAGATACCACTCCTACAGCCTGGCTGAAGGTACATGTCACTGTCTCACTGTGTTTTATTGACATTTCTTCAAGAACAAACAGCATGAATCTTGATTTAAAAAAAAATAATATTTCTCATCATTCCTATCATCAGCACTTATCAATTACCACGGCATCTCTATGTATGTGTTCATACTTTTGTGTCTTCATATGCTGATCTGGATGACTTTTATTAAAACTGTGCTTATATTGCTTTTTCTTCTTAGGAGCACATGACAAACGCTACCATGGAGAATCATTTCACACAGATTTCTCGAGTGGACTTGGAAGAGTTAAGAGAGGCCTTTGATAAAATCGGTTAGTTTCCTTAATACTTATTCTCTCTCTCTCTCTCTCTCTCTCTCTCTCTCTCTCTCTCTCTCTCTCTTTCACACACACACACACACACACACACACACACACACACACACACACACACACACACACACACACACACACACACACACACACACACACACACACACACACACACACACACACACACACACACACACCTAGGTTTACGGATGAGCAAAGTAAGGCTTATACAGTCAGCTATAAAGTGCATGAAAGTACACACAAGTGAATTTTATTGCTTGGGCTGTTGACTGTAAGTACTTTTTGTTCATGTGTGCCTCTGGAATGTCACTAGATGTAATCACTGAATGATCATGAGCCTAAAATTAAGAAATGACAATAAAAAACATAAATGTTAGATATCAACATGTCACAAAGACAGGAAAATGTTTAAACACAACCTTTACCTTGGTGATAATCAGTGGGACAGAAGCATATGTACGTCAAGTATTAATCTTTGGCTAACAACATATAAAACAGATGCAGTTGCATTTTTTTCTAAAAAAAAATAAATAAATAAAAACACAGCTAATTTTTGTCAAGATGTGATTAAAATGGTTTTCAGGTGTACCAGTAAGTTGCCCTTGGAAAACCGAACTGCAGAGTGTTTTTCATCCCATTTCTTCTGAATTTCTGACTATCACCACTTATAATTTTTGCCTTCCATCTCTGCCGGCAACCAGAGCGCCATTAAATTGTAAATACAAACGTGTTTTATAACCAAATATGCTTATTTGCTTATCAAAAGAAGTTCACTTTAAGTATGTTTTACGATCTCCAGTGCAGTGGGCCCAATCCCGGTCCTGGAGGGCCGGTATCCAGCAGGTTTTGTGGTTTCTCTACTCCAACACGCTTGACTGAGTGGATGAATCACCTGTAGCTCATCAGGCTCTGCAGAAGCTCGCAAATTAACTGCTGATTGAAATCAGGTGTACTGAAGCAGGGTTAAAACTAAAACCTGCTGGACACCAGCCCTCCAGGACCAGGATTGGGCACTCCGAGTCTTAATTGTTATACCAACCTCAATTGTACTCCGTTCTACCAACATTATTAGGATCTGCTATCAAGCCTCTATTGTCTCTATTGACCCTCTTGGTCACAACTCCCTGCATCTAATCAACACAATGACACCCTCACAATAGAGGCTAACGACTCAATGGGGGGAAGAGAAGAGGGGTATTCAGAGCAGTTTCTGCTCATTAAACAGTCAATCAAACTTTATTTGTACCGCACTTTTCATTTACAAGAAATACAGCTCAAAGTACAACAGACAGCTACAGCTTAGAAGCTCGACTCTCCCATGTTCCAGTCAGAAATGACAAAGCTCCTCGGGTGAGGAGAGAAACGTCTTCAAGAAACCAGAGAAGTCCAGTTGCCTTCATATGAACTCTTTTTGATTACCATGACCTTTCTGAGAACTTTCACCGGCAAATCTTTTTCATCACATTTTGTGTAATATTTATTTTATAGTTTACATTTTGAATATTAGGGTAAATGGCTTTGTGTGTGTGTGTGTGTGTGTGTGTGTGTGTGTGTGTGTGTGTGTGTGTGTGCACGCGTGCGCATGCACGCTTTTTTCCCTGCCTCTCCTTGTGTAGACATTGATAACAGTGGCTTTGTGAGTGACTTTGAGCTCCAGGAGCTGTTCAGAGAAGCCAGCCTCCACCTGCCAGGGTACAAAGTGCGAGAGATCGTCGAGACCTTCATCGCAGGAGACACAAACAAAGACGAGAAGATCAGCTTTGAAGAGTTTGTCTCCGTAAGTCTCAAGAAAACATGACTTGACTCATCCAACCACCTATATGTAGTTAACAAGGTATCTGGTTGTGGTCAGATTTATCAAGAGCTGAAGAGTAAGGAGTTCAGTGAAACATTCAGGAAAGTCCTCTCAAGGAGAGATGGGATCTACTCCTTCGGCGGAACATCTGGAGTCTCTTGTGAGGGAACGCAGCACTCCTACTCAGGTATGGAATCACAATTATACATGTTGTATGTCTGTGTTCATTTGGACTCTCTACAATTTTAGTGAGGCTTTTAAGAGGAGACCCAAAAGACCGCAGTCTGATTATTGACCTAAACTTCACTTAACATGGAACTTTTTTGAAACATGTTTTTCTTTAGCAGTTTGTCAAACAGTATGTTATGAATAATTATTTATTTATTTACTTGTTTGTTTGTTAGATGAAGAGAAAGTGGCTTTTGCTAGGTGGATCAACAAAGCTTTGGCAAAGGATCCTGACTGCCAACATCTGCTGCCCATCAACCCCAACAATGAGAGCCTTTTTTCCTCCATCCGTGATGGCATCTTGTTATGGTATGCCCCCCCCCCCCCCCCCCCCCACACACACACACACACACACACACATCTAGTGTCTTTTATTCCAAGTAAATATATGTTGAATTAAAAACTCATCACTTTTCCTCTTTATTTGTTTTATAAAAACAGTGTTATATAAATGATAAAATTATACTTTTTTCAAAATAAAATACCCTGCAGATAACTTTATATAACAAATATTTATACAAAATTCAACAGACTTATTCCAACTGCTGTCTACTGCAGGTGAGACACTGACACATGTTCGTCTGGTAGAGAAAGCTGTGTTATCGTTTGCTTTGATTGATGCAGCAGGCATTTTATGTATAATAGTTTATCTATTATGATGTCATGATGGTATGTATTTGTTCTGGCATTGTTTACGTTAGCAGAAATAAAAACAAACAAACACAAAACATTGGTTTAAAGCTGACAGTCTTCTAAGTCTCATGTGTTGCAACACAGGTTAGAAAGGTGTCTGCTAGTGTGCTAATGTTATATTGTTTTATAATGGTTCGTTTGCCTTTCGTGCTCTCTGTCATTCATTATACTTTTTGGACATTAAAATAGACTTTAACAGAAGCACATCAGAAAGAGAAAGTGACCCAGATCACCCACGATTTCATCACAACCGCTGGTGTGTGTCCATACACACCCCACTGTACCTTTTCTCTTTCAGTAAAATGATCAACCTCTCTCAGCCTGACACCATCGATGAGAGGGTCATCAACACAAAGAAGCTCACCACCTTCAACATGAGGGTGAGTAAACACATTCATGCACAATGAATGCAACCTATCAAACACTGTGAACCTGAGGCGGCTATAGTTCCATGTTATGAAATTATTCTTTAATCTGATGGCACGAATTTATAGATAAGAGCCCTGCAGCCAGTTGATCAGCTGGTTGCTAATGTTTCATTTAAATGACAACTTGATTTCAAGCTAATATAGTGAGTTTATGCATCTAGCAGCATCAAAAATCAGACATGCACCTTTAAAAAAGCTCTCCCCCATTTATTTAAATTAGAATTGATCAGTGATATTTAATTATTTAAAATTGGAAAAACATATCTAAGTGACCGGAAAGTCCCGCAGTACTTGAGCTGAAAGCTTTACATGCATTTTACATGAGACAAGTTATTTTATGTGGAATCAATCGAATATTTTAATTGTTGAGCAAAACTCTTCCAGTTGTCTTAATAATTCACTAAAAATGTTTTGTTTTTATTTGGCGGAAATACTTTAGAGTGGTATGATTTAGTGAAAGGTCATTTAGTTTCTGATTCTAGTGATCATAATAAATAAGTTTTATATAATTCTTTGCATATTTGTAGGAAAATATCATCCTGGCTCTGAACTCTGCTTCGGCGATCGGCTGCACGGTGGTGAGCATAGACGCCCATAATCTGATGGCTGGGAAACCCCATCTGGTCCTTGGGCTGCTGTGGCAGATTATCAAGGTTGGACTTTTTGCTGATATAGAGATCACCAGGAACGAAGGTCAGTGCACACACACACACACACACACACACACACACACACACACACACACACACACACACACACACACACACACACACACACACACACGCATTGACACACACTCACACACACTTTACGGTCAAAAACACTGATTCAAGCAAAATGTAGTAAATCAGTTATACATTAACGTTGCTTATTTGAAAAGAAAAACTAGATTATATTTTATTTTAAACAGGAAAATGTTGCTAAAAAGATTTATGTTGACACTTCTTGAGTCAATATAAGAGCAATGAGACAATTTTTCAAAATCATCATCAGATGTCATTTGCTGTTTTATTGTTAAATAGCTCAACATGATCATCTATGTCTTCCCTTTTCCAGTAAGTATCTTTGCTCTCAGTAGCCCCGAAAAAGAATCACCTTAAGGATTAGAAGCCTGATTTTTGTCAAGGGCATAAGAGTTAAAAAATGATAATAAACTTTCAAACAAAAAATGCAGAAAAAGCTCACACCACTTATTCATCTTTCTGCAAAATAAAACATCTTTTTTTTCTAATTGTGAAAAGTTTTCAGCACCTGGAAATTAGATTTGGCCTGAATATTTGTGATAATAAAAACATAAAGCCTAAAATTAGTGTTCGTCCAACTCTTTATCCAGAGGGGAAAAAACACTTTGTATGGCGGTTTCAAGAATGAACTTTAAAATGAAGTTCTAAACTTCTGCTTTAAACGTATTTAAACTGTTTATTTGAACATAAAGTTGTTAAATAAATCCTTTGATGGCACAATAGCATAATCTAACATGATTTTATTCACTTCAAGAGGCAAAAAAACCCCATTTAAATGGGTACGTTTCACCATGTTTTTCCACTTATTTTAACTTTAAACTGTTTTTTCCACAGGTCTGATCACTCTTTTGATGGAAGGAGAAGAGCTGGATCATCTGATGTCTCTCTCTCCTGAGGACCTACTGCTGAGATGGGTCAACTATCATCTCAGCAATGCAGGAACGCAAACAATCAGCAATTTCAGTTCTGATATAAAGGTGCAACTCCGAACTGGCACATCTGCAACCAAACCAACACTAGTGCCTAAAGACTCTAACCTTGTCCTGTTATTTGCTTTCTGAAGGACTCAAGGGCCTACTTTTACCTTTTGGACCAGATTGCTCCTCAAGATGAAGATGAATTCCATTTAGGGGTCAAGATTGACATGACAGGCCTCGACGTGAGTCATTTTTTAGTTAGTTTGTTGCAAAAATTGCATGCAAAATCTAATATTAATGCAAATATATATCTGAAGGAAGGGAACTTGGAGCGAAGGGCTGAGCTGATGCTGCAGGAAGCTGCCAAGTTGGACTGCAGGCAGTTTGTTTCTCCTCATGACGTCACGTCAGGAAACAGCAAACTCAACACGGCCTTCGTAGCAAACTTATTTAACATGCACCCAGGTCTGCAGAAGGCTCACATCAATGCAACCAGCCTGGAAGGGGAGCATATAGAAGGTGAGATAAACCTGCAGTGGGGGATAGCAAGTCATGAGGGTCAAGGAAGTAATTGTTTTAAGGAGTGGCAGATTTTGAAATGCATGACAAGTGTTGCATATACAGCTGATGGTAACTATGATAACATATATGACGTAACTTTGTCTTGCCAGCGGAAACCAGAGAGGAGAAAACGTTTCGCAACTGGATGAACTCTCTGGGAGTCTCACATGTCAACCACCTTTATCGGTACGTCATAATTCCTGTGTGCGATTGTCCTTATCAGAGGAGGAAATATAGGATTCCTATAGGCAAGGCACAGCAGTTTTATCTATGTAGCACACTTCATACACAGAAGCAATTCAATGTGCTTTCCGGGAGCAAGAACATAAAACATTACTGTATTAGAGATTCAATCAAAACCTTCAATTTAAAGCTGAACTGCTGAAAAGAACAAAAGTAATGATGAAGAATTCTGACTTTTTTCTCATGAAATCTGACTTTTCTCTCAGAATTCTGACTTTATTGTAATCTCAAGATTATTAAAGTTGGAATTCTGAGATTAAAGTCAGAATTCTGAGAAAAAAAGTCAGAATTCTTCGTCTTCGTCTTCGTCTTCGTCTTCCTCCGCTTATCCGGGTCCGGGTCGCGGGGGCAGCATCCCAATTAGGGAGCTCCAGGCCGTCCTCTCCCCGGCCTTGTCCACCAGCTCCTCCGGCAGGACCCCAAGGCGTTCCCGGACCAGATTGGAGATGTAACCTCTCCAACGTGTCCTGGGTCGACCCGGGGGCCTCCTGCCGGCAGGACATGCCCGAAACACCTCCCCGGGGAGGCGTCCAGAAGGCATCCTGACCAGATGCCCAAACCACCTCAACTGGCTCCTTTCGATCCGGAGGAGCAGCGGTTCTACTCCGAGTCCCTCCCGAATGTCCGAGCTCCTCACCCTATCTCTAAGGCTGAGCCCGGCCACCCTACGGAGGAAACTCATTTCGGCCGCTTGTATCCGCGATCTCGTTCTTTCGGTCATTACCCAAAGCTCATGACCATAGGTGAGGATTGGGACGTAGATCGACCGGTAAATCGAGAGCCTGGCTTTCTGGCTCAGCTCCCTCTTCCCCACGACAGATCGGCTCAGCGTCCGCATCACTGCAGATGCCGAACCAATCCGCCTGTCGATCTCCCGATCCCTCCTACCCTCACTCGTGAACAAGACCCCGAGATACTTAAACTCCTCCACTTGAGGTAGGACCTCTCCCCCGACCCGGAGGTGGCAAGCCACCCTTTTCCGGTCGAGAACCATGGTCTCAGATTTGGAGGTGCTGATCCTCATCCCAGCCGCTTCACATTCGGCCGCGAACCTACCCAGCAAGAGCTGAAGGTCAGAGCTGGATGAAGCTAGGAGGACCACATCATCCGCAAAAAGCAGAGACGAGATTCTCCTGCCACCAAACTCGACACACTCCACACCACGGCTGCGTCTAGAAATTCTGTCCATAAAAGTGATGAACAGAACCGGTGACAAAGGGCAGCCCTGGCGGAGTCCAACCCTCACTGGGAACAGGTCCGACTTACTACCGGCTATGCGGACCAAACTCACGCTCCTCTGGTAAAGGGACTGAATGGCCCTTAATAGAAAGCCACCCACCCCATACTCCTGGAGCGTCCCCCACAGGGTGCCCCTGGGGACACGGTCATAAGCCTTCTCCAAATCCACAAAGCACATGTGGATTGGTTGGGCAAACTCCCATGCCCCCTCCATCACCCTTGCAAGGGTATAGAGCTGGTCCACAGTTCCACGGCCAGGACGAAAACCACATTGCTCCTCCTCTATCTGAGATTCAACTATCGATCGGACCCTCCTCTCCAGTACCTTGGCGTAGACCTTTCCAGGGAGGCTGAGGAGTGTGATCCCCCTATAGTTGGAACACACCCTCAGGTCACCCTTCTTAAAGATGGGGACCACCACCCCGGTCTGCCACTCCCTAGGAACTGCCCCCGATGACCACGCAATGTTGTAGAGACGTGTCAACCATGACAGCCCTACAACATCCATAGCCTTGAGATACCCAGGACGAACCTCATCCGCCCCCGGGGCTCCGCCGCTGTGTAGTTGTTTGACTACCTCAGCAACTTCTGCCCCCGAGATCGGACAGTCCATCCCCAGGCCTCCCAGCTCTGGTTCCTCCTCGGAATGTGCATTGGTGGGATTGAGGAGCTCCTCAAAGTATTCCTTCCACCGTCCTCCTCCTTGAACCGTCACCTTATCGTGGTGGAGGAGTTTGAGTGCCCTAATGATCCTAGGAGCTATGTTGTCTGGGGCACGGTTCGAAAGGATCTTTCATGACGGTTAAAACGAAGAGTCGGAGTACCCGGCCCGGAGGGTTACCGGGGTCCCACCCTGGAGCCAGGCCTGGGGTTGGGGCCCGTGAGCGAGCGCCTGGTGGCCGGGCTTTCGCCCATGGGGCCCGGCCGGGCCCAGCCCGAACCGGATACATGGGCTCGTCCAACTGTGGACCCACCACCCGCAGGAGGAACATGAAGGGTCCGGTGCAATGCGAATCGGGTGGCAGACCAAGGCGGGAGCCTTGGCGGTCCAATCCCCGAACAAGAAAACTAGTTTTTGGGACATGGAATGTCACCTCGCTGGCGGGGAAGGAGCCGGAGCTTGTGGCAGAGGTTGAGCGGTACCGGCTAGATATAGTCGGACTCACCTCGACACATTGCATTGGCTCTGGAACCCGAGACCTGGAGAGGGGTTGGACACTCTACTTTGCTGGAGTTGCTCCGGGTGAGAGGCGGAGGGCTGGGGTTGGCTTTTTGTTAGCCCCGAGACTCTCTGCCTGTGTGTTGGGGTTTACCCCGGGGGACAAGAGGGTAGCTTCCTTGCGCCTTCGGGTCGGGGAACGGGTCCTGACTGTTGTTTGTGCTTATGGGCCAAATATCAGTTCAGAGTACCCACCCTTTTTGGAGTCCCTGGGACGAGTGCTAGATAGTGCTCCATCAGGGGACTCCATTGTCCTGCTGGGGGACTTCAATGCTCACGTGGGCAATGACAGCTTGACCTGGAGGGGTGTGATTGGGAGGAACGGCCCACCTAATCTGAACTCGAGCGGTGTTTTGTTATTGGACTTCTGTGCAAGCCGCAGTTTGGCCATAATGAACACCATGTTCGAACATAAGGATGCCCACCGGTACACTTGGTACCAGGGCAGCCTAGGTCACAGGTCGATGATAGATTTTGTAGTCATATCATCTGACCTGCGGCCGTATGTTTTGGACACCCGAGTGAAGAGAGGGGCGGAGCTGTCAACTGATCACCACCTGGTGGTGAGTTGGATCAGATGGCAAGGGAACATGCCGCGTAGACCTGGCAGACCCAAACGCATAGTGAGGGTCTGCTGGGAACGCCTGGCAGAAGAACCTGTCAAGACGGTCTTCAACTCCCACCTCCGGCAGAGCTTTGACCACGTCCCGAGAGCAGTGGGGGACATTGAGTCCGAGTGGGCCTTGTTCCACTCTGCGATTGTCGAGGCGGCTGTTGCTAGCTGTGGTCGTAAGGTGGCCGGTGCCAGTCGTGGTGGCAACCCCCGTACCCGCTGGTGGACACCAGAGGTTCGGGGAGCCGTCAGGCTGAAGAAGGAGGCCTACAGGGCGTGGCTGGTCTGTGGGTCTCCGGAGGCAGCAGACAGGTACCGGATAGCCAAGCGGGGTGCAGCAGTGGCAGTTGCCGAGGCAAAATCTCGGGCGTGGGAGGAGTTTGGTGAGGCCATGGAGAAAGACTATCGATCGGCTGAAAAATAAATCAGAATTCTGAGATTAACGTCAGAATTCTGAGCAATAAATCAGAATTCTGAGATTAACGTCAGAATTCTGAGAATTCTGAGAAATAAACCAGAATTCTGAGATTAACGTCAGAATTCTGAGAAAAAAGTCAGAATTCTGAGAAAATAGTCAGAATTCTTGGATTAAAGTCAGAATTCTGAGAAATAAATCAAAATTCTGAGAAATGAACCAGAATTCTGAGATTAACGTCAGAATTCTGAGAAAAAAGTCAGAATTCTGAGAAAATAGTCAGAATTCTTAGATTAAAGTCAGAATTCTGAGAAATAAATCAAAATTCTGAGAAATGAACCAGAATTTTGAGATTAACGTCAGAATTCTGAGAAAAAAAGTCAAAATTCAGAGAAATAAATCAGAATTCTGAGAACAAAACCAGGATTCTCATTTTTTTTTCTTCTTTTTCTTTTCAGTGGCCCTAATCCTCTTCCTTGATGCTTAGTTGTTAGCTGCACTATAAATTTTATTTCTCCTCCCCTGGCTCAGAAAATATATCATAGCTGCACCTTTGTGCGGGATACTAAAGATTAACATTTAAAAAATGCAAGAAATCAGGCAAACTGGGTTTATCTTCCTCTAAGGTAAAAACTGAAAGACTAGTAGGAAGATATTCTGAGGGAGTATTGTGTTTTTGTTTACCTCACATCTACAAGCATTTGTTTTCTTTCGTGTATTTACCTTCAAAGCTATATTTCTTTTCATTCTTATCCAGGCTTTTTATTTACCTCCTTAAATACAGCTCTTTAGCTTTTTGCTGCAACGTCACTCGAGAACTGATTTCGATCAAATCTTTTATTCTTTCACTTGTTGATCTTGATTGTGTAATTCTGTTTTGCAGGGATCTGTGTGATGGCACGGTAATCCTGCAGCTTTTGGAAAAAGTCAAAGTGCCTGTAAACTGGAAACAAGTTAACAGCCCACCTTATCCTTTCCTGGGTGGAAACATGAAAAAGGTACAACTCACAAACTCAGAATACAAAATCATTTCTCACAAGCACAAAAACCTTCAGCCTATAAAATACAGAGAGTATATTTTTGTTTGATTAGCTTATTAAAAATAGAGTTCTTTGATTTATTAAAAAGAAAGAGTCCTTTGTCTTCATTCTTCTCTTGTGCTGGAAAGGAAAACAGTTCAGAAGCAGATGCATGAGACCTTGAACAATATCTCATGCAGATTAGTTCTTGCTGAGGAGAGGGGGGAAATGACTTTTAGGTGGAAAACAGTCTTTTCATTCCGTTACACTTATGTTGTTTTTCTTAAAGTTGGAGAACTGTAACTATGCTGTGAAGCTGAGCAAGGATGTAGCTAGCTTCTCCCTCGTTGGTGTTGGAGGAGAAAACATCAATGAAGGAAGCCGTACACACACCCTGGCTCTAGTCTGGCAGCTGATGAGAAGGTACTATCTGGATAAGGGTCTGTGCTTTAACTTGTGGAGTAAATGATCCATGCAGCTGCTCCTAATGCAGTCTCCATGTGTCTTCTTTCAGGTACGCCGTCATGGTTTTGTCAGATTTGGGCAACGGAGAGAAGATTGGAGATCAGGTTATCCTGAACTGGGTCAATAACACTCTGAAAAAGCAACGAAAGGACTCACAGATCAGCAGCTTTAAAGTATGTGTGTGTGTTAGCCCCCATTATAGTGGACGGGTGTCTTTTCCGGCTGCAAAGTGTCACATTTTCGACACGTCCCAGAGGTGTATGGACACGCTGCTTACATTTTGAGTTTGCTTTTTACGCTCCATGTTTCCAAACTCCGTAGTTCAGATCGGGTCATACAGGAAGTCAGCACAAAAGCACTGTAAAACATCTGGAAACTTTCAAAATAAAAGTCACATGCGGATTTACAGTTGCTTAACTAGTAAAAAAAACATTTCCTGTGAAAACTCTGTTCCGGGAGCATAGCACACTAAAAAATAGACTAAGCGTAAATTTAGCGAAGCGACTTGTCCCCTACGTGTCTTTCTGGGACACTTTCAAAATGCCACATTTGCAGCCAATGGAAATGCATCCATCCGCTACACCAGTAGCTAATTGCACTTTGCGAACTTTACACGTCGCTTCTGATTCCTGCGGAAAGGCCCTGATAATTAGAGGGAATTTAAGGTTGCAGGTGAGTTTAATCTTGCTGAACATTCTACACAGGACAAGCTGATCAGCACCAGTTTGCCTGTGATTGACCTGATCGACGTCATTGCTCCCTGTACCGTCAAATGGGACATGGTGAAGAGAGCAGAAAAAGGAGTGCTGACGAATGAAGAGAAACTCAACAATGCCAAGTGAGGATCATTTTATCCACTCTGACCTTCTTCCCACATTCAAACTTCCTGACCCTGTTCTTTTCCTGGTTCTCTCTCAGGTATGCTATCTCACAGGCCCGTAAGATCGGCGCTCGTGTTTATGCTCTGCCCGATGATCTGGTGGAAGTAAATCCTAAAATGGTGCTGACGGTGTTCGCCTGCCTCATGGGGCATGATCTGAAAAAGGCCAAACGTTGAAACAGAAACCCATAGAAATAAACAAATCTGTACAAAACACACAGTCGCAAACTTTTCCATAAAAACATTTCCATTGTTGTAATCTTGTTTCTGTGACCTGCAGCCTTCCTACAATCACCAAAATTCCAAAGATAAAATTCACAGTTTTTTGTTATCCTTCGAAACAGTCAGCCTTACTTAAAGATGGATTTTTTTCTTTGTAAATCAGCTGCATTTGTTATATATTATTTTAACTTTATAAAACTTTTATTTTTGCTTTACAGGATATTTTTGTCTCTGCATTATTTTCCCTCTGCAATATACACTGGGGAATAATTAAATCCCACACACAAAAGTCTTTTCGTGAAGTCTCAGAATGTCTGCATTTATTATTTAATAATAGAAAAATTGAATAAACATTTTAACAGTTTATATGTGTGTGTTGTTTCCAAAATGTACCTACCGTGGGTCTTAGACCTTAGCTATTAACACATTTATTCATTCATTCATTTAATTCATTTGTTTATTTATAAAGCACCGTACAACCTTATCAACAGACCAAGATGCGGAACACAAGGTTGTTTTAAATCTTTTTCCAACTTGATCTGAATAAAGTATTCTGCTGTTTATCTTTGTTAAGGCTGTGTCACACTTCAATCGATGCATTAGTATAAGAATATTCTTTAAAGAATATGAGAACTCAGTCAGTATTGCATGTTGCCCATTGAAAAAGTAAATATCTTGAAGCTGCAGCAAAAACATTGAAAAACATGCATACAGTTACAAACTATTAATGACAAAGCAGTTTATGAAAAGTTTAGAAAGGGAGAAATGTTTTGGGGTGCAGTTTCAAGAGCTGAGTTCTCACTATTTCAATATAAAAGAAATGAGACACAATAAAGTTTTTTTCCTGTAGTTATGTAGAACATATTTTATCCTCTTTGGTACTTCTCTGTTGTTTATCAAATTTCATTATTTGGTTATTTTCTGCACACAGCATAATAAAGATGTGTCTTTACCGTTTGTTGAAAAAGTTTCGGCTTACTCTGTAGACTTCCACAGAGCAACGCCGATTCAGTTTGTTATCCTCATTTGTAACAATATCTTACATAATATTTTTAGTGTTTATGTTCATTCCCTTTTCTCCATTTACATATAGGGGATTTTTTTTACAGTGAGGAGGTCCAGCATTGCTATCCTACAAAGTGCCATGCACTTGAATTAAAATGAAATGCATACGGATAATATTAACATGTGAAATTTATTTTACAAAATAATTAATCATATTTTATTCATGTTTTGTTTGTTATTTTAACTTTATTAGTGCTAATGACAATTACATCCACTTACTGTATGGATGCAGTTTTCAGGTTAATGTCTCCCTCTAGCGGTCAGAACGAGAACTTTGTTTTCTCGCGGCGGCATTCCAAATAAAAGTCGTTGCACCCTCACGTGCTACTAGTGTGACGTTTTTTAATCTAATTTGTTAATTATGCAATTTATAAACATGTCGCAGCTGTAAGCAAAATAAATATAAAAAATATACTGCGCGTGCGCTGAACTGTATCTTTAAAAAACAATGTCTTTCATGCGCGCGGCCGTACTGTTGCGAGGGCCGATCGGATCGGGGCCGCGCGCGCAGGAAGGCTGATGACCACCACCGATAGAGCCGTCACGTCACGGATCTGCAGAGCAGAGAGATGCTGAGGTGACAGGTAGAAAAAGGAGAAACTGGACCACCTCTCCTCGGACACGTCTCCCTCTCCTGCTCTCCACCCCAACCCCCTACACCGCCTCCAACCAATGGCCTCCTCACGCACTATGGAACTCTTCGTGTCCGCACCGCTCCGGATCCCACAGGATATACTGTAACCACGCCCGGCCCTTCGGATCAAGGACTGGCAGCGAAGACCCGAGGTACGGAACCTTTTTTTTTCTTTCGCACTTTCTGTTCGGCCCATTTCCACTGTAGACAGTCCGGCTGCAGCTGCGTGCGCAGGATTCGTCCTGCATGATGGTGCTAGTAACTAACCCCAGGATGAGCCTGCGTGGCCTGTGGACGGCCAGCGTGCGTGGACGCACCTGAGTAAATCTGCTGTTACTCGCTATGCAACAGCTCTCCATAATAAAGATGGTTGTGAGGAAGATCGGACGTTTTCGCCTGCAATGCTGCTGAGCAAATGTGTCGTTGCAGTTTCACGCATCTGAGGCGCACATTTGCATCTCATCCTCCTTAAATCCATCGTGTGTATTGATTCTAACAGAGCCGCTGGCTCCTCTCCATCCAACACCAGCCCGTACGTACTGATCTATTGAACTAGGCCAATCTATGATTAGAGATTTAAAAACAACACGTTTCAAGATTTTTTTTATCCTCACGCATGCATAGCAGGGTTGCACGATGCTTACGCTGAAAACGTGCAGCTTCCAGCAGACGGAAAGGGCAGAGGTGACGACAAGCTGCAGTCAGCAAATGAAAATGGCACTGCACCACCGTCGCCATGGAAATGCTGGGGTCAGGAAGCGTGATTCGTGATGAGAGAAGAGAGGAGATGAGCAGCCATGGTTTGGAATTTTGTTTTGGTTTCTCCCCACAAGTGAGTGGAGGAGGAGGATGGTGTTGGGTTAGAAGTTTCAGCTCTGCAGATAGTTTGTTTTAGAAACATCTAAGACAAATTGAGTTCTAATTTAAAAAAAGTGTTATTACAATCATTGATTTAACACATATTTCTGAGCCCAGGCAGACTATCAATGAGGTTAAATTTATTTTATTTTATTTTATTTTAATTTGATTTAATTGCTTTGGGTAAAATGCATCATGGACAATATACTTATTCTAAATAAATATAATAAAAGCATTATAAATTCTTACCAGTTAGCATCTTTTTCTTTAGTTTTTGCACAAACCTGAGTGGTTGTATAATAATATGGATTACATCACATTAAGACACAGACTAAATATGGTTAAAATTTATTTGCTTTTTTCCTCAAACTTCTGGAAAAATGTAATAAAATCATAAAATCAAATTGTACAATCGTGGCTATTTATAAAATCAAATGCTTGGCATGATTTTACGGAAACCTGGCTCCTAAATATGTAAATATGGTGAATGATTAAGAAATTCATATAACATTTTCAGAGTGAAAAAAACATAAATCTAAGGTTAAAATACTAAGTTTGCTGGTCATTATTGATACATTTCCACAGATTTGTTTTGAGTACAAGTGCGGGTCTTTTATCATTCCTGCACATATGCAGAATGGTGTTATTCTGTAGCTCCGCCCACACGTACATAGGGGGTGTTTCTCAATGTCAAATTGCCTGGCCTTGCAAGGCTATGTCTTGCGAGGCCAGGCGCCTTGCTTACGAGGACACTGTCCTTCCTTGGTCAAAGAAAACGGTTAAATGGAACAGACTTGCATCACGTGAACGCGGCTTCCACGGTGGTCGCGTAACGTCATGTGACACGGGAGATAACGTTATATTTTATTTGTCTTAGTTTCAATATGAAATATGTAACAAGCCTTTTACTTTTTAAACTGTGTACATATTTATTAAATTAAAAATATAAGGGAGTTACTACCCGCTAGAAACCGAAGCTGCAACTAAGCAAACAACCAACCATAGATAACTTCTTTTCGATCTATTAAAAAAACATTTAAAATTAGCTGACTTACTTTTAAACTTGAAAATTTTCCCCGAAGTAGCTGCTGGCTTCTGATCTGCCATCTTTTTGAAAATACCGCGGTGTCTTGTGGGTAATTTTTGACCAAGGCTAGGCTACAAGACACCTCCCGTGTGTCCTTACTCAGCTAGCTAAACGGCTAACAAATGGAGAACACATGCCTCGGTAGAACATGAACATTGGAACCGAGTGGAACACGTCTTGGCAGCTCCCAATGACGTATCTCCTAGGCAACCTGGGCGGGGCCAAGACATCAAGGCAAGGTTCCTTGGCATTGAAAAACACCCTTAGATTGTTTTGTGTTTTGATCATTGACATATATGGACAAATAATAATGTCACATGTCTCGTCACGCCCAGACAATCCAAAAATGGGACAAGAGGTGGAACTGAGGTTGGGGCTGTTGTGGTTGGAACAAGGTTGGAACAATGAACCAATGTAGCTACTAGCTAAATTAGCTAACCCAAGAAGCTAAGAAGGGACTCCGGTGTAGCCGACCCGCGCGGCCGCTTGGCTTCTGTGCAAGACTGAAGTCATGCTGGTCACCTGTGGAGCTTTTATTATGGACTGTTAAAATACAAGCAGAGCTTCAGGCCGCTGCAATCAGAGCCAGGCTCCCCGGCCGCTTACACGAGGTCATGCTCCACCTTGGTCGGATATCAGCGGGAGATTAGCTACAAGCTAACTCTCAAGCTAATTGAGGGGTTTCTGGCATTTTCAGCTAGAGAAAAGTGGTAAAGTGACTTCAAAATCAAGTCAGAGCAGCATTGTTTCTGTAATCTCCCTCAGAGAGCTCCACAGAGAAGCAAAGCAACTAAAGCCTCGCATGGAAGCAAGGCAGATGTGCGGTGCATCTCAGCCCCCTTGAGAGATGGGAGCGTGCTGCCTGTGTGAAGCAGCTGTTTCCGGCCAAGAGAAGGAGAAGCCGGGCGCCCGCCTTGCTGGGCTGCCTCCGAAGGTTGAAGGCAGGATTGCTGCAGTTAAAGGGAGAGGCACATTACTGAAACTCAGCAAATTTCTCTGGCGACCATGCAAATCTTTGACTGCAGTGGACCAGCAAAGTCCCAAAGCCTCTACTAGCTAGCCTAGGTCAGCTTAAGAGTTTCCGTACCCAGTCAGCCAGCCAGCCCCACCAACACATTATATTTGAACCCGTCTTTGACTAAGCAGTGTTATGTAAAACTCACAGCATTTCCCCCATTCAACTAGTGAAATAAAGTACAACAATAGGGCCCATAATTGTTCTTACTGATAAAAATGAAGCATAAACTGCTTGGATGATGTTTTAGTGCAGTCAGTACAACAGCATGCCCTCTTTGTCCAAATATTTCTAACACAAACACAGAGAGGACACAACTTAAGTTCAGAGTGAAAATGGCCAAACATCTAAGTGAGGCCCAGGCTGAGGCCTCTCTCTGGTGCTAGTTCCTAGTGCCACCTCGTGGCTCTGATGCTCATTAATTATTCAGAATTTCAAGCATTTAATTACACTTACAAAAAAATTCACCCCCCTCAGAGTTGTCATGACTGTAAACTAGATCTATTAAATTTAAAATGGTTTTGTGAACCAGGCTGTAAACATGTTTAATTCTGCTGTGAAAATGGCATTTTTAACATGGGAGTCAGTGGGAACTTGTTCAGTTTTGAAGCCAACCCCTAGCGGATGAGGGTGGAACTGCAATTTTTGGCACTTCCTTGTTGGGAGCAGGTCTGGATTCGGGGGGTGTCCCCTTGGTTTTGATTGCTGAACACATTCATGGGACTGAAATTTTAACAGATAAAAGCTCAGTCCTCCATTTTATTTTTTACTGTAGTTTTTTTAGTCAATTTTATTGGTTTATTGTTAGACATATTTAGTAACAACAATTCAGATTAAATACAATGGTTATAGAGTATTTTTAATAAAACTATATATTTTTAAAAAGTTATGTATACATGTAATAAAAGATGTGTAAAGTTAAACAAAACAAAATAAATATGTAATACCTGAACATAATGTTGCAAAAAAAATCTGTGAAGTTAATTCTGTAGAAGTGAATAAAAAAACAGAAGCAGTTCTGATGCTTTTATGATAAATTACATTTATTCCTGTGATCAGTCGTACATCACTCCACAATTCACGCTAGAAAATGACAATGTCTGAGTTAGTTTGTTCACCTGAGTGACAGACGTTATTGTAGTTTATTTATTATTTTTATGTTGAATACATTTTTTCAAGATGATTGAAATGTAAGAATTAAGTAAACAAATATTTATTTCATAATTATTAAAATATTTTAAACTTAGAAGACAGTTTCTAATAATGATGGAAATCCAAGATTTTGGGAAAAAAATATTTTTCTTCTTCTGGCCATAAAGCCTCTAGTTATTAGCCTGGCAAGCCAGACTATATATGTGAATATAAGCAAGAATTTGGTCTAGTTCACTAGGCTATCTAGTTATAGTATCAGTATTAGTACCTTCATCATAAACCTGCCTTATCCAGTCATTTTCATGTTTTCTGCCATCTAGTGGTGGAACTACAGGTAGAAAAGTCCAATTTATTTTCTGTATTACAATTATATATTTATATAGGTTAATTATGTTATTATACAAAGTGTGATTATATAGTTATTTACAGTAAACAATATATATCCAAATCCTTAGGAGTATTACATAAAGTCAAGTTTTTACTGACTAATTCTGGTTTGTTGGCATTGTACAATTCACTGATTGTTCTATACTTGACTTGTTGTGTAGAAATCTGGGGAGCAACATACAAAAACCATACACAACCCTTATTTATTTTACAGAAAAGAGCTCTGAGAATCATCAGTTATAGTGGCTGTAGAGATCCATCGAACCCATTGTTTATTAAATATAAATTACTGAAATTTCATTATTTAAAAGACTGGAAAATCATACAAACCATGTATAAAGCCAATTTAGGTACTCTGCCAACAAACATTCAGGGGATATTTGAAAAGAGAACTAGTAATTACATGCTGAAAGAAACTGATGTGTTTACAAAACCTAGATTTAGAACTAAAATTAAGGAGTGGATTATATCTGTAAATGGTGTTAAATTATGGAATAACCTTAAAAGGGAAATAAAAAAAACTCTGTCATTTAATATATTCAAAAATGTACCAAATTGAGTGTACTAAATAATTATGAAAATGTTAATTAAGTCAATGATCATGATCACACTGGAATTTAAAACAGGAAAAAGTTTAAAATGAATGTATGTGT